CCCAAAGAATGCACATTCATACAACAAGGGCATATGTTCAACTACATTCATAGCAGCATTGTTTGTAATAGTCAGAACCTGGAAGCAACCTAGATGCCCCTCGACCCAAGAATGGATAGAGAAAATGTGGTATATTTTCACAATGGAAAATTTTCACTCAGTGGGGGGAAAAAACAAAGAAATCTTGAAATTCAAAGGCAAATGGATGTAACTTGAAGAAACCATCCTGAGTGAGGTAGCCCAGTCACAGAAAGACAAGCATGGTATATACTCACTCATATATAGATAATAAAGAGCTACTAGCCTACAATCCACACCACCAGAGAAACTAGGAAACAAGGAGGACCCTAAGAGAGAAACACATGGTCCCCTGAAGAAAGGGAAAGGAACAAGAACCTCTGAGCAAACTGGGAGCAGGGGGGAAGGGAGGGAGGGAGGAAAAAGAGAATGGGAGAAGAGGAGGGGGAGAACAAGAGGGATCAGGAAGACTGAGACAGGGGAGGAATAGAGGAGAGCAAGAAAGCAAGAAAAGAGATACCTTAATAGAGGGAGCCATTACAGGTTTAAAGAGAAATCTGGCACCAGGGAAATGTTCAGAGATCCACAAAGATGACCCCAACTAAGAATCTAGACAGTAGTTTATACCCTTCCCCTATAATGAGATTGATGACTACCTTAATTGTTATCCTAGAGCTTTCATCCAGTATCTAATTGAAGCAGAAGCAGACACCCACAGCTAAGCACTGAGCCATACTCCCAGAATCCAGTTGTAGTAGGGAGGAGGGATGAGCAAAGGAACCAAGATCGTGCTGGAAAAAAACACAGAAACAGTTGACATGACATAGTGAGAGCACAAGGACCCCAGTTGTAAGGCTGGGGAACCAGCATTGGATCGAAACAAGCCCCCTGAATGTGGGTGCCAGCTAGGAGGCCTGGTCAGTCTATGGGTCCTCTGACAATGGAGCCAGTGTTATCCCTAGTGCACAAATGGACTTTGGGAGACCATTCCCTATAGAGGGATACTATTGCAACCCAAATCGAGGGCCTAGGTCCTCCCCCCAAATGATGTGACAGACTTTGATGATCCCCGTTGGAAGGCCTCACTATCCTTGGGGAGTGGGTAGGGGGGTGGGTTGGGGGGACCGGAGGGGAACATGGGAGGATGGGAAGGTGAGGGAATAGAATCATTGATATGTAAAATAAGATTGCTTCTAAAATGAAAATTGAAAAAGAAAAATAAAAGAAACTGCGAAGAGTTGAGTACAGGAAGTACATTTCCACTGCCTTAGAAAATGATAGGGAGCTGACATGATTCCTCAAGCAAGCACCCTCTCTACGGTACAGCTCCTTTCTCCCAAGAAAGGGACAGATTGGACCATTGGTTCCAGCAGAAACCAGGCTGAACACTGCCTTCCAGAGCTACTTAAAGGGCGCCACTCCCATCTCATTGGCATACTAGACTCCATGTGAGATCACGAATGAATAAGGCATTCTACAGCTTGAGGAATCACAAAGCAGAGACGTGTGATGTGAAGGATTCCTTCCAGCTCCAAGGGCCTTTAGTGCTGTAGAGACTGTGGAGTGGAGTCAGGAGCTCACTGGGCAGGGATGGAAATCATTCTAAGACCCATCATCTTTCTCAGGGTGAGGGCTGTAAAGACTTGAAGAATCACCTGGAAGATACAAGTGAGATGACCACCAAGGAACCCCTAGATGTGCATCTCTGGACATTCTGGAGACTAACACTGTTGATGTAGACTTGGCATCTTTAAATGTATTTTTAGTACTTTTTATAGCCTAAAAGACTGAAAAATAACAATTATCTGAATCTGGGTGGTGATTAGCCACAGTGACCCAGCTAAAGGCCAAGTGGGTCATCTGCCTTATGTCAAGGGTCACATTGACATCACTGAAGGTCAAGCTGAACACTGGAAGCCAAGTCTATTGTTTGCCTGGGGACCTTGGAAGAGGCAGAGTTATTGAGAAGACTGCAGGTAAAGCCTGAGTTCCAAGAAGGAGGCTCAGGCTAGAGACAGGGAGCAGCTGGGTTTAGCATCCAGTATCTGGAGCCATGTTCAGCTTGGGCAGACTTCAGGATCTGTCATTCTCATCATAACAACGGGCGTCGTGATGAAGCTCCATGGAGTCAGAGAAGCTGAGTCAGCAATCTTTCTGAATGTTCTGAAGGCAAAATGAGAACAATTCAGGGAACCTCTTCCACAGCAGGTAGTAAGTGTACATTACTTATCATTCAAAGAAGGAAGGAGAAGCTGAAAGTATAAACAACTCCCAAGGTGTTCAAATATTTGTCAGATAATGATAAATATAAGCGGGTAGCTAAGAGGGAAAATGGTTGGGGGCTGTGTCTAATTTTGAATGTCAAAATCAGGGAGGAAAATCTTGGTCTTCCAGGTTGATTCTAGAGGTCCAGGTGAGTTCCTGAGGATAAACAGACTTCAGTCCCCACCCAGTGGTGTATTCTGGGAGTCTTATGTGCTGACTAGTCATTAACCTCCTTGTGTCCTTGCTCTAAATCCACCTGAGACATGAAGTAAGGATGGTGTTGCATTCACTGTGAATTATGGAAAAGTCCAGAAACTTGGGAGCAAGCTACTCATGCCCATTGGGGTTTGGGTATACTGGAGGCTTCTGCTATTTCCAGAACTTTACGGTCTGCACAGAATTGAAACATCAGTACGAGGCAGGCGTGCTAAGGTGTTCAGTGCTCTCTCCTTTCTCCACAATGAAAACAGCTATCCAAACATGGAGTCTGTCATTACTGCCAGGAGACAGTGGACTGTGAGCAGTAGTGTCCTTCTATTTTGTGAAGTCCTGTATCTAACTGCTCCTGCATACAGGGAGTGCCAAGGAACCAAAGCCTTTCGTCTTATAAAAAGTTCTAAGTCCAGCTCTTCTAGGACCCACTTGAGTGACACACTCTTTTCCAATAAGCAAGTACCATGTGAGGTGTTCAGGCTTAGACATCAGGACTCGGAGCCATTTCCTTTGGCACAGAAGAGTACAAGGACACCAAACAGCGGCCATATGGGAACAAGGACAAATATTCACTCAGCATTGGTCTCCCTAGTTCCTCGTTGGGGAATTTCTATGGTCTCACTTTTGCTTGTGACTTAATTGGACTGGAAGTGAGACTTGCAGGAGGCAAAGGGTCTGAGATAAGCCAGAAACCACTGAGACCCTCTGCAAGAAAGCAAGGGACCAACTCGGCGTGCTTCAAGATCCCTGAGATCAGCATGTCCTCCCTGCAGAGTAGCCTACCTCCCTGTCTCCATTTAGCAGCTAGCAAACATTTCATCCCCCATCAAATGGTGGCTCTAGATAAAAGATGTTGCCCTGGGCTCTAGGTCCCCCTCCCACATGCTTAGTTAACATGTGATTAAACCCTGCAGCCTAGCAAGCAGCCTTGGGGGTGGAAAAGGGTTGTTAGCTAACAGTTCAGAGCAATAAAGGCACTTGGCTCAGCTTCTCAGTGCCCTGGAGATATAATTATCTCATGTACGATGGCTTTGCCACCTGTCACATCTTCTGCTTTTTTTTTTTAAATAAAAAATTAGCGAGAAGTGTTGGCGTTTTCTTGTTACATGACATAGCTTGCTTTTTGCCTGACTGGGACAACATGGCTTTAAACAGTCACCTTCCAACATTTCTACAAGGGTCTCTGATAATTATCATTTCTCATTTGGATTCTAATGTTTGTGACCATTTTTAAATATAAACTATTTTATCTGAGAATTTCATAAATGAGTAGTGGATTTACATCATTCCCACTCCTCCCCTTTCAACACCTTCAATATACCCCCTACTCCTCTCAATTTCATGACCTCTTTCTCTTTAATTATCCCTGGTGTATATTTGTAAATATACAACCCACTGAGTCTGTTTAGCATTGCTCATATATAATGTGTTTAGAGCTGACCATTGGGAATTGGATAACCAGTCAGGGACCTCATCCCTGGAGAAGACGGATTCACCCTCTCTTGGCAGTATTGATTGCCTGTAGTTCTTCATCTAAGGGTGGGGCCCTGGTGCTGTCGTTTTACAGGTCTTGCTTGTGGCCGTTGGAGCAGTCTCACTCAACCTGCTATTTTGCCTGTATTTACCTCTCTCTTAGCATCAAAGCTAAGCTGACCTGTACCTTCAAATGTTTGGGTTTTTTTCCCAAAGTGTTTTGTCTCAATTGCTTGCATCCTTCTCCCCCCTTCTCTTTCCTTCCCTCCTTCCCCTTTCCTCCCTCCCTTTCCTCTACTTCTCATTAACAAGACTCTCTCTTGACCTCTCTCCACCTCCTAACTCCATGTAGCTTTCCTGGACTCTGTCCTGGATGAACTTGAGTCTCAAGGCCTCCCTGGAGGTGCTGCCCTTCAGGACCCTCCCCATGCAACGCTCCTGCAGGCAGCTGTCGTCGGGACACCCTACCTGTTGTGGTAGATCTCCAGGGCCACACCTAACTTCAACACATGTCCCTTTAGAGCCTGAGGTCATGTGCTCATTCATATCTAGTGAGCAGCCCTGAGCTAGGGAGGTGATGGCCCTTCCCATTTCCAGCTGACTCAAGAGTCTTCATGTGCTTCCTAACCCAGCTCTGGTAGAGATCGTGGCAGACCACAGTTCCCTGTTGCTCTGGTCCTTCTGTTGCAGGAGAAGCTTTCTATTTGACATGACGTTCCTCAAGGAGTGCTGTGCTTAGCCCTTCACTGAGTTCATGGGCAGATACTTATCCTCTCAGGACTGTGTGCTCCCCTCTCCTGGAAGGATCACCCACACATAGAAGATACTAGACTTGTAGATGTCAGCTGGGCAAGCCACATTCAAATACACAAAGTGTTATTCTCTGTAGCATTATAACTTACCCCACAAATCCTTCCAATGTCCACATATAGTCCTGAGGAACACCAAATTCCCCAGGGATGGTTAAATACTCCCTATATGAAAGAAAGTGAGTGCACTGCCATTGCTAATGTTTCCCTTTACTCTTTCAGCCACCGGATCTCCAAATCCAAGTTCAGGTGAGTGAGATGCAAACTGCTCCCCTTCCCTTCTCCCTCTCTAGCTTGGTCCCCAGCTACTGTGTCAGATGACCAAGGTAATTCCTATCAGCTAGGGTCCTTCTGGGGCTTTAACTGCTTCCTTTTGTATGGGGGTTCACAGTTTTGTCAAGGAAACTAGTTCAAGGGTTAGACTTGGGTACTCTTAGGTAGTTTCTGAGTGGTTAGAACAAACATGTCTAATTCCTGTATAAGAGAGTCAGTTAAAATAAATGTGTAAACACTTGTTACTATTTGGCATGCTTCACAACTTTGAGGATTATAGACAGAATGTCAATTCTGCCACTGCTTTGAGACGGTGTCAGAAGTTTCCAGAATATCCACCCTGTGGCTTGCCACTGGCTTTACTTTCTGCATGTCTGCACAAATACTTTCTTTCCACTACATGCAACTCCTTGAAGATTCCCAAATGTTCTCTATTCTCTTGCACACTAAGACTTTTTGTGGAGCTTTTGCGCCACCAAAATTCGCATCTGTGTCTCTATCTGGAAATGTCAGACTTGGCAATCAACTCAAAGGTTACAGCACCTGTGGCACCCTTGGCACGACACACTCCCAACGAGATTTAAAAAGTCTTCCCTTCATCCTCCATTCTACATGCTTTGTCACACGCTTGTCCTAGTACTTTCCGTATAATATTCTACCTATTGCAATGCTCAAAGTCCTATTGCCTTCACTTAATTTTGTTTGGACACTGGAGTCTGCTCAGTGCCTAACTAGCTACCCCACGGGTTGACTCTTCAAGCTCTGTGAGTGCTTGACTGGTTATATATGGAAGACAGGAATGTAAATTTAATTCCAAAATATTTAGACATCAAAAACTATTGGCCATTTATTTTTCATAGCATAGTCTTGCCTTCCAAACCTCATCATATATATAGCAGGAGTATAAGTCATACTAAACTAGGTGTTTACCAACAGGATGTTTTAAGCAGTTCTTGGAGGTCACAAGTGCAATCTCTTGAGCTCCTCTTCCCCACTCCTGTCTAAGGTAGATTTGGATACCCCATTCCCCAGTTACTGTTTAAGGTGGATTTGGGTACTTCAGGGAGGAATCTCACAATCCCAGAACCAGCTTAAAGAATGAGGTACTGAAGTTCTCCAGATTCTCTTGACTCCTGCTAGCTCTAACACACAGATCTGTGTGATTTGAACATCCACCACTACAGGCCATGTCATATACCCTGATCTGCACTCCTCCAGCCTTGAAATCTGTTCTCTAACTCCCAGGCTCTGTGATCCAGCCCTCCCTCACTTCATACTTTCATGTGTCTCATCATCCATCACTGAGCTCTGGAGCCAGGACCCCCAACACACATCCTCTACATACCTCATCCAGCTCTGTTGAGAACCAGCCACATAGAGTGACAGGCTAATTATTGATATTCCTGGAAGGAACTGCATGAGCCTATCTACAAGCCCCAACTCCCTGAGCCCCTCTCTGTGACATCCAAGTGTTTCTAAGCAAATCTCTCTAACCTCATGGCATTCAACACCCAAGCAAGAATCTGGTATTTGACACTGCTCCAATTCTGATGCCCCCTTTCTCCAAAGTTCTACTGGGACTGGAAAATGCAGACTTCCTTCCTCCTTGTTGTTCTTCCAAACCAAGGCCTCCTTAGTATAAAAAATAGAGGATTAGACCTACCTGTACTGGCTTTTTTATTACATGAAAGAGGGCTCTAAAAAACGAAAGAATGCCCTGCAGATATTCCTTCTTCAGCTCCTGCATGTGGAGAAGTAGCTGGTGTGTAATAAGAATTTAGTAATATGTATGTATATATGTATAGATGGATGGATGGATGGATGGATGGATAGATGGATAGATGTATCACCTGGTCTTGATAAGACAGTAGTCTTGACAATCAAACAAATGTCGTATTTGACAGGTACATGTTACTCTGAACAGTTTCACAGCCCCACACAGTAACATTAAAGAGATTTAATTTTACAGTGAAAATATTTCCCAAATTCTATTCTCACTACATGCAAATGAGGAAACCATAGATGAATGAATGGATAAACACAATCTGGAGACTTGTGGAGACGATCCCATACTTGGTGGACACTAGTGAGTTATCAGGAAACCTTCCTTTTGAATTGGGTAATCTATCGTGTCAGGTATGTCCTTAAGAATTACAATCTTTTTATCCTTGGGACTTTGTTCACTCAGCATCTCCCAGCCACAGAGCTCTAATTGCTTACTTTGGGGAAGGGATGCTTCTCTCTCTGCACTTTCACTTTAAGGGAAGCACAGAAAAAACTTTGTATTCATAAATGACTTCTTGCCAGTGGGTTGTCACAGTTATTAAAACACCTGTAGATGATCTGAGGCTTAAGGAAGCCCAGAGTCACAGCAGGGGACTAGCCTCAGCCATCCTACTGGTCAAGTCCTGGCTGGTACACTGAACCTGTTTCTCTGCATGCTTTGGAGATTATTCTAGTGGCCATGTCAAGGAAGTGCAGAGGAGCAGCAGGAAATGAAACCTTTTTCTTTAAAGCAGGGTAATGAAAACCTTGTCATTTCAACAGGAATTAATGTAACACATTTTAATAAAATAGCTTGTGTTCTTTGTTGCACCAATACTTTTTGCAATTTAGCATGTCCCTTTCATTTACTATGCATCTTAGTTTGGATTGTCTACATGTTGCTAGTGGCCCCCACCCAGACAAGGGGACCCTGGTTCTGAGCAATATTACATGCAATTGACTCACCTAAATCCTTCAGCCCACTGATGGTGTCTGGTTGGGGAATAGCTAAGGCTGGTAATGGATTGAAAATGCTCACAGAATTATCAACATTTTCCAAATAGTTCTCTCAGTTGGGGAAACAATTTAATAATGACAGCAATAGAATTTCAGCTTCAAATTGGCCTATTTTAGGTGCAGGACTGGATGATACAAAGTCATAGTTAATTTTGAAAGAATAGTTGAATAGAGCTTGCAGGAAAAAAATGAGACAAATTAGATGATACTTGGGTACTTTGATAATTCACATTTTCATGTAAAGGAAAATATAGAATTGGCTACATTTGAGAGCCACTAAGCATCATTGGTCCAGGGACTTGTTGGAGTTTTTCCTAGCACAACTATGCAGAATTCAGAGCTAATCTCATGGGGTTCCAAAATGGGAGGACTGTCAGGCCTAGTCATCAGCAAGAGCTGCCTGTCAGGCCTAGTCCTCAGCAAGAGCTGCCTGGCACATCATTACATTTCTGCTATGCCATAAGCAACTAGTCATAAACACAAGTCTGCCCCAGTCGCTATAGCCCATTTTTAGACTACTTCTTCATAAAAGAGTTATATTTAGCAGTTTTTCCCTGCTGCTTGTTCTGGGTTCTGTTGAAGATGGGAACTTACTCCAGCTCCTAGACAGCCTACCGTATCCAACGTCTCCATGTCTCAGACTTGTCAGCATTTGCATGCCAAGAAAAACAGTTTAGGAGTATCGCCCTTTCCCCTTCTCAAGGCCAGAGGTTTTTAAGCCTTGCCTTTTTCAGGGAGTTAGACCCGGAGCATGTCTTTATCATGTTTCACACAAGCCAGTATCTTATTGTGTGAGATGGACTTTGCTTAATACTACAGATCTGCAACAAAATAAAAGACATGGCTGCTGCCTCTTGTGGATCTGATTATTCCAGTAAAGAGTCAGGAGCCATACGTTAAAAGTTAACTGCTAATACCAGGCCATGGAAGTCCTCTGTTGGGGAAAAGCTCTCTGGAGGCCTCCATGACTGCCTAAGATGGAATCTAGGCACACTATTACAGAGTCCCCCAGCATATAACATGTTCACCTACTGCTGTGCCTTAGCTGGGCTTTATGTTGAAAAGCACCGTGTCTGTTAACTGCTGATATCTTACCTTGTCCATAGCAGGCATTAAATAAGTGTTTCTTGACTACACAAACAAAATGTATAGTAATATAGGCAGGCTCTGCAGGGATGCCAGGGCTAGAAAAACAGAAAGTCCACTGCAGAGAAGCGAGTTGGGCCCTAGAGATGAGCAGAACCTAGAAGATGGGACTAGAAGATAGAAGCCTTCATAGTTGGCCTCTGTGTTGCTAAAAAAGGTGCAAAGCTCTGTGCTGGTGGTGGGGATGAAGATAAGATGAGCCAAGACAGAGGGAGCAGAGCACAATGCTGTAGACAATTAGTACAGTAGACACATTCACTTCCATGCTTCTCTCCTGCTTCTGTATTTCTCATAAATAACTTTCAGCTAATGCAAAGAGAACATGAATATCAGGCAAATTGCTCCTCCCTGTTTTATCATTTAATTTCCATATCCTCTGTGCATATGTAAACACACAAATAAATTTACACATTCTAATAAACTATTACATTTATTATATAGTAGGAAGTGTTGCCAGGAAACCAGCTGTCAAGCAAAACTATGTTTGAAAAGTAGGAGATGTACAATTATCTTTAAATACTTTCCCTGGATAGTAATTACTCCCATCCCCACCACAACCCAAAATCCATGTGACTCTCCAGAGTGCCTCTGTGCAGTAGCAGCCACATTTAACGGAGCTGGCAGAGAGCTATTGTAGACCCATGTGATGGGCCTGACTTTACAGCAACCCATGTTCACCACTTGTAAACATGACAGAAATGGCCACGATCAAATTCTCAATACTAAACTGACTCCAAGTCAGTATCTATGTACAGTAGGTAAAAGCAATCATCATTGCTTTATAATCTGCATGACAATTATCAATGATTTCTGTAGTATGGGATTGTGTCTATTTTAAATCATTATCTTAGCAATTAATATGTTTTTAAAATTATCCTATAATATTTATAATCATAGGAAGAAGTAGAGATGTGTTCTGATAACATGGAACTATGCAATATCAAGTTCTGCAAATACAAAAGGCCATCTGTCATTATAACTACCTGTGACTCATTGTCCCAACCACTGGTCCCTCTCCACATAGTCCCCTATCCTCACACTTGCATGTGGCATAGCTAGATGTTTGAAACACCCTGAAGGGCACTTGCAGACTAATGTTTGAACTGCATGGTGTCTTCTCTGTGCATAGCAAATGTCCCAAAGCACCAGCTAAGCTGAGTGTCCCTGCAAAGCTGGGGCATCCAGTGAAGGATGGATCAGGTCATAACACTGAGATTAATCTATCTGTCCTTCAGCTTGCAGGCCAAACCCAAGTTCCCCTTGGTAGTTTTAAGGGAAGAGTTCAAATTCTTAGATTGCCCCTGGCTCTTCCATTCTCGTCATAGAATTCAGTTAAACCTTGGTAATGGGAACAATAAGGAGAAAAATGATAGTGTTAGAGACACAGATGAAGCCAAGCTATCCCAAAAGGCAATATGAGTAAGTGGAGGGAACCATTCAATATCCAAAAAGGAAATATGAGCAAGTGGGAGGAACTATTCGTATAGAGGTCTGTCTCCCTGGGGTCACAGAATACAATCTATCCTTGGCATGGAGCATGTGATGTTGAAAAGGTCTCCCTTAAGGACTAGAGAGCTGAGTTTGGGGACAGAGTGTGTAATATATACAGCCATTTCAGTGCTCTATTTCTGGCATGCTTGCATATGTGTGACACTGACGGCCATTCATGATTCTTCAACTTATGCACCACCAGTACATCTCTACAGAGAAACAACTACATTTTTCTATGACCAGAAGACTGCAGAAATGGACTAATGACATAGACTTATTCAGAATGTTGCACTACAGGTCAATTTCATTGCCCTAAAATAGAAGGTTTTTTGCATCCTGGTCCAGGACACCACACACACACACACACACACACACACACACACACTAAAGACTTTATTCAATATCTCTTACTACTATTTTGAGTCATGCTATGATATCTTTCATGCTGTTCTTTTCTCAGTGCCAATCATGGCCTGTCAAATAGCTGTTCCATCCACTTATGGGCTGCAGAATGAGGTTTGCAAGTCTCTGTTGCAAGCAGGTTTTACATACTTGCTTTAGAAGCCTAGACCAGAAAGGGACAAACAGAAACTATGGCATGTAAAGTGCAGATACCTGTGATTGTTGCACCAGGGTATTGTCTGGCTTCCTCCTGCCTTCTTCACCACCCCAGCAGGGACTTCGCATGCCTAATGATCTTTCTGTATGCATGCCCAGCCACCACCCTGAACTACATTCTAAGCTAAATGCAATGCCCTTCTCCCAACCACTCTCCCTTCCCAGAACACCCCTCTCTGGCTTTTGCTTGGTAGTGGGTGCCACACTCCCAGACCACCAGGCAGGCATTTGGTTCCTTTTTCTCCTCTTGAATTCCGTCTCCCATTGACTTTGCATCCAATCTTCTGTGTCCTCAGTGTCCTTTGTGCCATTAATAAAGTTTTTCTTATGTCATCACTAATCCAGACAATTGGGCTGTCTTCCTGGTTCTACCTAGATCTAGAAGCTCACCACATGTCTGTGTCTGTTGTTGTCTGCTTTTCTGAAATAAAATCTGATTGTGTGGGTCTTCCTATGGTGGGTTTCGGCCTGGCCGTCTATTGTCTGATTCTCCACACTTCTCCATTGCATTCCAGGCAGCTATTAAATACTTCCTCTTCTGTATCCCCAACAGAGCTGTGTGTTGTGTGTGTTGTGCCTAGTTGTGTGGGGTGGGCAGTGAAACCCTCTGTCACAGAGTCATAAAATGGGAATGTTTCTTTGGGGTCATCCAGTTTGATGATTCTCATCTGTAATTAACATTAAAGCCAGCTGGAGGAAGTTCAAAAGTGCCAGTGCTATCTTTTGGGTATTGAATGTACCCAGCAACCAGTTAATCAGTTTCCAATCAGATTGATTTGATGCTGAGGTGAGGTACCAGGGGAGGGGTGGCTGGGTGGTTATGAAAGCTTTTCCAAGTCATTCTTCACATAGCCACACTTGAGGAATACAAATGGGCTTTGGCCGCCCATCCCACAATGAGGGATGCTCTCTCAGCCCGCCCTGAATGAAATGACAGACTCTGGAGAACCTCCGTGGAGGACCTCACCCTCCCTGGGGATCGGAATGGGGACTGGGTGGGGGGATGGGGGTGGGGACTTGGTGGGGGAGGAAGGGAGGGAGAGGGAGCTGGGATTGACATGTAAAGCAAGCTTGTTTCTAATTTAAATAAGAAAAGGGAAAAAAGGCACCAGCAGAGCCCTTGACCAAGAGCGCTGGGGAATGCTAGGTGTCTGTAGCTGAGCTTTAGTAGTTCTCTGTGTACCTATAGGGGTGTACCCACTTTTCTAAACAAAATCTAAATGTTCATTGGGTTCTCAAGAGATCATCGGACCCCATGAGTGTAAAGAACCTCTGCTGTAAAGCAGCCTCTTCCTCTGCATGGCAAGGTGATACGGGTCCAGTGGAAGGGGCGGGGCTGGGGAGACATCACCCTGCCTCTCCCACCCTAGTATATTGGACAGCTTGCTGAACTGCAATGGTCCTTAGTTTCCTCCTCGATATTAGGTTAACACACACTTGACTTAAAGACTTAGAGAAGCCCTAAGGCATTCCTAAAATACCAAGCCTACAGAAGGCTTTATTCATAGTAACCATTTACTAGTCCTGTCACTGCCACCAGCATAATGACTAATTTCCCCCTATACTTGCCACACTACTTCTGATAACCCCATTAAAATAAATTTAAAACAGTTGGAAACTCCTTTATCTTTCAGCGCCGGAGATTGAAACCAGGGCGTATTCATGCTTGGCTTTACCACTGAGGTATAGGTATATCCCCAGCTGAGAAAATAAAAACAGCCCCACTTGTTGGGCAACTTCAGCTTCCTGCCAGCTGGCTTACATGGCATTTTATGCATGTCTGCAAGAATCCTGTGAAATTATCCCGTTCTCATTTCTAACTGGAGCTTAGCAATGGAGGATAGATAGACCCAAGGCCACATGGATAACTAAACAGTGGAGCCTAGTTAGCTTGGGAGAAGTCTGACTACTCCATCACCAGGTTGTATAATAAGGCCAAGCTGGTGACAGGTGCGATGTCACCTCATGTGCTTTGGGTTGGCAGAAGTTAGATCTCCCAGCCAACCCAGTTTTTTCCCTCCTTACCTCTTTCCAGCCGCTACTGGCGCAGGTGGAATAGATTCTGCAGAAGGAAGTGTCGTGCAGCAGTTAAGTCCAACATCTTCTACTGGCTCGTGATCTTCCTGGTGTTCCTCAACACACTCACCATTGCCTCCGAGCATTACAACCAGCCCCACTGGCTCACAGAAGTCCAAGGTGAGCAGCCGCTGGCTTTGGACTATTCCCTCTTGCTAACTCAGCCCTGTTCCTGGGGAGGGATGAGTTATTGCTGGGAGATTGGCAGGAAAGCAGCCAGTGACTACTGCTTGGCTAGTGCCATGCTGGAAAGTCCAGCCCTGGAAGCTCGTGAGCCCCATATTAAGATATATAATTATAAACAGATGCGGCCCTTCAAACACTGATGTCCCTCTCACTGTTCCTCTACAGCCATAGTCATCTTCGAGTCTAAGTAGCAGGACAGGAGCTGGAGCTTCTCTGGCTATTTCAGAACCTGGGCTGTCAACTTCCCAGAAGCAAATTTCAGTTCCTCTGGCCTTACTCTAGCTCCAGGTAGCATTCCCCAGATAGGCAAGAAGCAAGCAGAGCCTGAGCAAGGGACAGTATCCCCAGAGGCTAAGACTCCCCTTGTTGTGCCTGGACCCCTATGGAGATTTCCTCAACCCATGCCTAAGCATCTCTGGGGAATGAGGCAGATAGGGCCCAGGGTGTCTAGTGGTAGCAAAGCACGGGGTAGATAGTCTGCTCTCAACTTTAGCTGCTGGCTTGGATGGGTCACTGACCCTTCTGCACCTCCTGTCTCATCTCTAAAGACTGGGTCTAATGAGAACATCACCAAGCCTCTCTGAGTTGCTGTGGGGATTAAGGAGGAGAACATATGCTAAGCCTCTAATGCATGGTGTTTGCTCAGCACATGGTTCTAATAATGGAAACTGGGCCTAATAGTTCTTCCAGAAGTAGCTGGGGAGGTCTCATGGGAAGGAGGGGGAGGGAAAGAGAGAGGGAGAAAGATGTGTCTTTTTCTCCAGCTATGACAGTGACTGTTTTATTTTTTCCTCCCCTTTCTCTTTGCTCTTCTCGGTTCCTTGCCTGAATCCCACCCGGTCCTACACCCCACCAGACACAGCCAACAAGGCACTGCTGGCGCTTTTCACTGCAGAAATGCTCCTGAAGATGTACAGCCTCGGCCTGCAGGCCTATTTTGTATCCCTCTTCAACCGATTTGACTGCTTCATCGTGTGTGGGGGCATCCTGGAGACCATCCTGGTGGAGACCAAGATCATGTCCCCCCTGGGCATCTCTGTGCTGAGATGTGTGCGGCTGCTCAGAATCTTTAAGATCACCAGGTACGCATGTGCCTCCTCTTTTCCCTTTGGGCACTCATGGCCAGAGGGGTGATCCGGGAGAGGGAAGAGCTGCAGTTTCTGGAGAGATCCAGCCTCCGACCATACGCTGCAGGGGCACTGTGGTTCATCCCGGTGCTGTGCCACTCGGAAATGCCCTTAGCTGCTCACTGCTGTCATTTGACTTGGCTGCATTTATTCTCCTATATGACTAGGAGTGCAGAGGTGGGTAGCCACCATCAGGGACTCGGCTACTTCCCATCCTTGGCTTGACCAGCATTGGTGTTGATTGAACAGTAGGGTGCAAGATGGCTTCTGGACATTGAGGTATTATCAATTCTAGAAAAGCAGTAAAGGGCGTAGTCTGCTTCTTTGCTCCCCAAATCCCAGGCAGACCCAGAGAAGCTAATCAGAACCAAACAGGGTGACAAAGCAGCAAGTGTGAGGGGGGCATGGAAAGCTGGGGACTCTAACACTCTCATGTGTATTTGTGACTTCTGCCAAACCTGTGACCAGATACCTGACAAGAGCAGCACAAGGAAGGCAGGTTTCATTTTGGCTCAGAGTCCATCAGGTGGGAAGGTGTGGTACCCAAGTGTGAGGTGGCCGGGCACAATGCGTCTGCAATCAGGAAGCACGGAGGGACAGCACAAGGCTGTGCTCAGCTCCTTTTCTCCTTAATCTTCTCTGTGTAACTCCAGTGTGCAAAGTGATGCCCACATTCAAAGTGGCTCCTCCCCCTCATAGATATGCCAGAGGTTTGTGTATCCTAAGTAGTTCTAAATTTCCCCTAAGTTGACAGTCAAGATTAACCAACTTATGGTAGAAACGGGAGGTGAATGATAGGCTGCTGTGAAAAACGGAGCTGCCCTTTCTCGGTTAATTAAGAACAAAATTACCGAGTGTCCCAAAACTTTACTTCTGGGTATTTACACACAGCACTAAAAGCCAGGTCTTGAAGTGATGTTTGTACATTCACGTTCAGAGTGACATTATTTACAAGAGCCAGAAGGCACAAGCGCCCCAAGCATCATGGGTATGGATGAAGTAAAGGTAGTATTTACATCCAACAGGGTATCACTAAGCTTTTTTAAAAAAGTTTGTATGCATGGTAGCACATGAATGAACTTTGGGGACTTCATGCTGAGTTAAATAAGCCAGTGACAAAAGACAAGCATTCTTTGGTTGTACTTATTTGAAGTTCTTAGTCATAGCGTCAGAATCACATAGGCAAAAAACAGGACAGTGGCTTAAGGGCTGATGGTAGGGAGAGAGGAAGTTACTATTTAAAGACCAGAGTTTCAGTTTAATAAGATGTAAAGAATCATAGAAATGGATGTTCACACTATTAATATATTTAATATCCTTAAACTGTAAGCTTTAAAGTGGGTGAGGTGGTAATTTTATGTTATATGTGTTTTAACACCATAAAAAATAGGGGAAAAATAGGCTGCTGGGATGTCTTAGTGGACAAAGGTGCTTGCTCTGACAGCCTGAGTTCGATCCCTGAGACCCACATGGCAGAGTAGCTTCCATGCAGGTATACTTGCTCTCTCTAAATAAGCAATTCAGTTATTAGTTAAGACTTAGGGGCCACAAATCATCCAGAAGGCAAAGGCCTGCCACCAAGCCTGAAGCTGGAGTATGACCCTATAGACCACGTGGTGGAGGAAAAGAGCCCACCTTGGCGGGCTGTCCTCCAACTGCCACATGTTCACCTCCGCCACTACAAAGTAAATAAATGCAGACAAATCTTCCAGAAATCTCATCAAGGGATTCTCTGGTCTCATTAGTTGTTCTTGCTATTAGGAAGAGCTGAGAAATGGGTCTCTCTGACAGGTATGGGTCACTAAAATGCAGCAGAGATGGCCAACTCTGAGTCAAGATGGTAGGAATTATACTTCGGGGGACTTTGATCTGGTCTTACACACATACATTTGTCCATCTCACTGTCCATCAGCCCATCCACAGACCGTTCATCCTCACTACAGGGAGTGGGTAGCCTGCTTCAGGTCAGTGCTCACCCTGAGCTACTGAAATCAATGTACAGTCTCACCTCATCATTTTAAACCATTTTGTTGAGATTCCCTTAGGAATATGATTTCTGGACAATCTTTGGAAATAGAAGCATTAAACCCCTAACTTGGGTTGTGTTAAGAAACAAGAATAGAGACTTATGCCTCCAGGTCAAGGACAACTGTGTCACAACTCACAGGGTGTTCCTCTGTGTGAGTCACCAGGCCTTATGAGGCATCCTAACTGTCACTATTCTTGTAGCAATTCTCTGGGCAGCCATCTGAAGGCACAGTATTGTTGAGAATCCAGGGAGAGGCACTTGATTTTAAGTTTATTGATGGCAACCAGAGGCTTTTTCGTGTTCAGTCCAGTCAGTGCTCTTACTGCTATTATGGGAGGACAGTGAAGTCATGAGATCTCAAACGTGAACCAGGAACTCTGGCCATTTTGATAGGGGAAGCTATTAGTTCCCTAAGGATTTCAGCATCTCAAAAAACACAGACACTGCTCATACTGCACTGTTAAAACAAAAGTGTGTGATTAGTAGCAAGACTTTGTGAAGTAGCCTCCAACAGATTTGAGGAGAAATATACTTGCTTAACAAAAGGACCGCACACAGGTACCCCATCTCCAAGTTCAGCTGGCAGGATCACAGTGCCCACACCCAGCCCATGTTCTAAGCATTTCAAGTCTAAGATTGGAGAGAGGTTCACAGGAAGCAGGTGACTCCCCTGCACTCAACACAAATAGCTGCCTTCCGTTACCCTATGACTATTCACATGCGCACATCTGAATGTATGCATTTCCAGATGATTGGAGACCTGAAGAAGTAGCCTTAACTTAGACAGTGGAATTACTCTACTTCTGGGCTTTTTGAGGCCTGAAAATACTGTTAGTTCTTGCATGGGGGCTATGGGATGCCCTCTGGTCAAGCCAAATTTTAAAAAGTTGTTTCTTGTCAATATTTTCACGAGAATACACAAAATAGTTAAAAGGGAATCAATGGGCAGTTGCTCCAAGATGTTATAACAATATCTAATAGTGAAGTCCCTTTTCTAAATGAGGCTGAAAAAAACAAAATCCAGACCTCAAACATGGGCCATGTGAGAATTACTTAAGAGGCAGTGAAAATTGGAAAGTTAGAAGTAGTGTTTATGTGGCCCCAGGAAAAGGAAATACAGTCAGCAGTTGTCTACTGAGAGGCAGTATGAACGTGATGGGACTTGGACAACAAGATAGCCTGGCCCATCAGCTCTGTAGCTCACTGTGGTCCAGAGGATGGTCTGAGAGACAGACCTGCTGTTTGCTGTCACCAGTGTGATACCTAAGCAGGGTGGCCTTGGGCAAATGACCTAACTCTCCATACCCAGTCATCTCTTCTGTAATCATTCCTCTTCTCATCCTTTAAGATCATTGAGGCTGAGTTGCCCTAAGATATGTCAGCATTGGGACTCCCTATACAACACACAGTGTGCCTTAGTCCATGTTAGCATCTGTTATTGCTAGTGTTTCTACTGCATTTGTTACAAACCAAAATACCCTTGTAGTCCCCTGTTCCTCCCCGACAGCTGCACCCCATGCTCTCAAATGTGCCATTAGGCTGACTTAGGAAGACACATTCACCCTAAATCACAGCCACAAGTGGGATGCCCAAAGACCTATGTGAGTGCCCCTTGCAAATCTCCCAGGCTGCAAAGATCTCCAAATCCTTGTCCACAGTCCTGCCCAACCCCCACCCCAACCCTCCCAACGTTCTTTACTACCTTCTAAAGCCCTCTGCTCAGGAGCCCATGGAGCCTCTCACCTCCTTTAAAGCCACCAATAAACAGGAGTCTGGTATTTGTGATGTTCCCAGGCAAGAGTCTATAGAGAAGATGCTCAGACCCAAGAGCCACTTGCTGTCTTTTGGGCGGGAAGGGAAGTTACTCCATGTGGGTGGTAACTGTCACCTATAGGAGCTTAAGAAGATGCTCTAAAGATTATGTGAATGTGCCTCCTCTCAAACCCCATCACATTTATGATTTTGAGGGCCAATTATGTAATGCTGAGTACCTCTAGTCTAGAAACCTCAAAGCCTTCCCAAGGTCAAGATCAGGCAGTCTTGGTATCTTGACCAAGTCTTATTCTCCATACAGGATGGAGAGGTCAGGTGGGTATTAGTGGGAACTGTGCTGTGGGCCCAAACTATCCTAGCTCCATAACCAAGACAGTCTAGAATTCCTTCTGGCTCCTTCTGATCAACGACATAGCACTTTATACTCCTACCGTGCAAATACCCCCAGAGTCAGCTGCATCCTCCAGGACCAAGCTCAAGTTCACTGCCATTTTGGTTCAAGAATGCCTACTGCTGGGGTCCCTGTGGCAAGTCCAAGGAGAGAAAAAAATAAGGGCTGTGCTTGCTCACTGAATATATTCTGATCCCCACATTGCCCTACTTGGTTCTCATCCCTTCTTTTTCTGTTCTTCTGTCACAAAGTGCCATAGTACACCAACTTACTGGTTGAAAATCTGTTTATAAACACTCTTCCAACAACAGATAACTTTCCACCAAAACCAAGAGAGAGCATTTCACCGCCCAGCATAAGAATGGTTGGCAGGGGCACCTGCAGAGATGGCCCTCTCTGGAACACAGGAACAGGGCTGAGCACTGTGAGGCATCCTCAGTAGTTAGTCCTGTTGTTTCTGCCATCTTTTATTTATAGCACACCAGCATGAAGGTAAAGGGCTGGCCCCAGACTCTTGGAAGCAAAAGATTTCTGTACTGAAAGGTTCTGCAAAGTCTCAGATCAGAGACAGAGAGAGGGGGGGGGGAGAGGGAGAGAGAGAGAGGGAAGGAGAGAGGGAGGGAGGGAGGGAGAGAGAGAGAGAGAGAGAGAGAGAGAGAGAGGAGAATTCTACAGAGGCCCTGATCCCAAAACATGTACAGAGGGAAAAGAGATGGTGGCAAAGTGTCCCTGAACAGAGAGTGTTGAGTCGACCCAGGAAACTGGGGGAAAAAGAATGGATGGTCAGTGAGTGTAAAAACTGAGCTGGGTCAGACCCCCTCCAGTGTACCACAGTTCAGGAAAAACAGTGAAGCAGTGGATAGGTACAGGTACAGGCGGTGGATAGGTACAGGTACAGGTGGTGGATAGGTACAGGTACAGGCGGTGGATAGGGATAGGTACAGGTGGTGGATAGGGATAGGTACAGGTGGTGGATAGGTACAGGTACAGGTGGTGGATAGGTACAGGTACAGGCGGTGGATAGGTACAGGTACAGGCGGTGGATAGGTACAGGTACAGGTGGTGGATAGGTACAGGTACAGGTGGTGGATAGGGATAGGTACAGGCGGTGGATAGGTACAGGTACAGGCGGTGGATAGGGATAGGTACAGGCGGTGGATAGGTACAGGCACAGGTGGTGGATAGGTACAGGTACAGGCGGTGGATAGGTACAGGTACAGGCAGGCAGAAGCACACATCGGGGAGGTGGTGCAGTAGGAGGAGCACAGATATCCATTGGTGGGGCAGAGGGCGTGGAGGTCCCAGCTGTGCTGTGTGGACTCCTGTTCTGACCACGGATGTTTAGGTGTCCCAGGTTTTCTATGCGGTCTGCAGATGGAGACCTGAGTATTTGTTCTCCAAAGCTCTCTTTGTTGGTGTGTGAGGCTGTGTAGTTCATGGTTTTGATCAGTTAGGATAAAGACTGATGTCATTAAACCTTCAGGCTTAGCACCAGCTAGCTTCCTGAAAAGAACAGTAGTTCTGTGGAGGGGGCTGTAGTCCTTTGTTTAGCAGTAATAGCCTTAGATGGAGAGGGTTTGCAGGCCTGAGGGTGTCACCTGTGCTGCCAATGCTACTGGCTAAGTACTTCCAGATGTCACCATATTACCCATGGTGGAAGGCACCTATCACTGTCAGGATAGGTGGCATGCTGGGCCCAAACATCCAGCTCCCTCACCTCAGAACCACACTAGTGTTCTATTTTTTTAAATCACATTTTAATTTTATTTTAATATAATGTTTTAATGATTCTTTGAGAATTTCATACATATATTGAATGTATTTGGTTCATAATCCTTCTCCTCCCCTAACACCGCTCAGATCCACTTCCCAGCCCTCCCTGCTTCCAACTTCATATTCTTCTACCCTCACCTCTGCTCTCACCTCACAGCGTGTACACAAAGCAAACACTGCCTGTCCCTCAGGTATGTACAAGTGTGTTACATTTATAGCTAAATCCATTCACTCATTCATCCACCCACCCACCCACCAACCCATCCATGCATCCATCCATGCATCCATCCATCCATCCATCCATCCATTCAATAAAATACTCATTGGTCACCTTATGAGGACCAAGCACAGTTAAGAGAATAAGGACAGCAGGATACCCAAGAGGACTTTTGGTGAGGGTCCAGTGATGATGGTGTGCCAGAGACCCTGAACCAGACCAATGACTCATTGCAATGAACGTTTTTACGGGTGGGGCTGATTAAACAAAAGGGCATACTACATGACAGACAGCAGCTCCTGGTGCCATTAGGACAAACAAAGAGGTGTTGGAAAGATGGTTTGAGTTTTTGTTGTTGTTTACTTGTTTTTGTTTCTAATATTTTGGAGGAGCTGTGCTGCAGGGGTGAGGGACAGATATTGAAGGACTGGGAGGTGAGTGGGATTGGGGTATAAATGTGAAATTCCCAAAGACTCAATAAAGAGAGAGAATGAGGAAACCAAACAGCACATGTGACTCCCCTCCTCTACGGACCTCAATTCTGGTAGGGGAAAAGAAACACTGATTAAAGAAATAGTCTGGTGCTGATATCTCCTTTAAAAATAGAACGAGCTGATGTTCAAATGGCTCATTGAATAAAGTTCTTGCTGTGCAAGTCTGACAACCTGATTTCAATCCAAGAACATATGTAGAGGCTAGACAGGATGACTACAAAAATTTATCCTGTGACCTCCACATGTGTGCTGTCGTACACCTACACACACCACACACACACACACACACACACACACACACACACATCACACCAGGCAATACTTTAAATCTTAAGGGATAATATAGAATAAGTGGATAAATTACAAGTCAGAGGAGCTTTCTCTGAAGTCAGAGGCCAAGGACCTAAAGGAGGTACCCTCTACTAACTTCTGAGAGAACTGGGTAGGCCGTGGAACAGGGACCTATTTGGCAGAGCATCTTGAAATGGGAAGAGAAGCAAGACTCATGTGGCTGGAATGAGAGAGGGAGGGAGAGCATGGAGCCAGGCCAGAGGTCATGAGGGTTCAGGGATTTCTACCAGGTATCAGGGACAGCAAGGGCTGGATGTGGCCCCCATTATAAAGGACTTACTTCTCTGGTGTGGAAAATTGCTATGAGGATCCCAGGTCATGACAGGAAAACTAGGTAGGAGGCTGTTCCAGAAATCCCAGGGAGAGAGGCTGGTGGCTAGGCCAAAGTGACAGATACAGTGGTGGCCAAAGTCAGGATTTGTGTTGAAGATGGAATCTTGGGATTTACTGCTGTGAGGTAAGGAGTGTGCAGGTCGTCCCTTGCTGTTCTTATTTCCTGACATGAGGAAGAAAGTGGTCAGGAAACCTCACAGCTCTTTGTGTGGTACACCTTCTTTGCTACCTGAAGCCTAGACTAACTAACCAGGATAGCATTTGTGGTTGGGGAGTGGAGAAAAGGGTTATACTTTAACTGGCGCTTCCCCTTGGCCAACTCCTTGCTCCACACCCAGCTCTCGGGTGAGCTCTGCTTGCCCCATGCTTCAGTCCTTTGCCTTAGACTCCACTTCCCTAGGGCTTCAGGCCTCAGGAGACCCTGGGTCAAGACATGATCTCTGTCCTGCCTTGTTTCTTCTGCCCCCTCACCTGGTCTCTGGAGTGACTTACCCTCTGGAGTCCAGAGCCTCTTTGGCTACTCCCCTGAGTGACCCCATGGCTCCCAGATAGAGCTGAACCTCGGTTCAAGCCCAGCTAGCTATTTTCTCTCACTCCGTGTACTTCACGACTTCCCTTGACTGTTATGACCTTCTATGACAGTTGAACTCAGTTTACATGCAGACGCTCCCCACTTCGTGTAACTGGACATTTAATATGCTCTGGTTTCTGAACACCAGTTTGTTGATGAGCACTGCATTTGACTGCTTGTGAGTCCCTCAAGCTCCAGCATCAGAGAGTGTGACTTCATGGCGCCTGTGGGACCTGAGAAGAAGCATTTAGGACATGGTTAACTTCTGAGAAGCTTCTGCTCTCCAGCAGTATAATAGGAAAAGGTGTTCTAAGCCCAAATCTCTCTCTAACTTCTTGCATTAAGCAGATCATTCCCAACTCTGCCCTATAGGGACTCCAGGGAACCTAGCACACATCAGGGCTTTTCAGAGCAACCAATCCTAGCATGTGAGAACTGACCACAAGGTACTGTGAGACTGAGGAAAATGCGGTTACATACAGTTCAATTTGGGGGGTGACTTGCTAATGGAAGGGTGGTCTGGAGGGGCAGCCAGGCCAGCTGAATCCTATAATTTGATTCAGAAAAAGGATGAGTTTATAGATTAGGACAAAAGTTACTACATCCTCACCACAACAGACCTGTTATCTTAAGACAGTGTCAAAGAGTTGGGGGCATCTCCAGAGCCAGAGTCAGATTGTAAAGCCCTACATGCCATTATAGTGGTTTTATCTGTAGTTTACCACCAACTTATGCAAGAGAAAAAGAAATGACAGGGGTTACTCTGGGGGAATTATTATGGGTAAGACTCAAGATGGCCATGGTCATGTGAAGTTGAATCAATAATTTGGGTTGTAGGTGAGGATCTCTGCTCCAAAAAGTGTCACTCTGGTGGGCTCTTGAAGAAATGCTTTCTTCTTGTGCTCACTGAACTAATAAACTGTAAACAGAGACCCATAGGACTCCCTGAAGGATTCTTGCCTGAAATGCCCCCAGTAGTGTGATGGGTTAGTTGTAATCTAAAAGTATCAGAATCCTTTGGGTTCTTACTGAAACTGCAGATATCTGGGCTCCGATACAGGGCCAGAATTTCCAAAGGAATGGCTTTGAAAAACTGACCATCGTGACAGGGAAGTTGAGGACCTCGCTAAGCTCTGCCCGCTCTTTCCTATCTCCCCAGGTAGCTACTGATGCAGTCCTCTCAGACTGGCATTCTTGGAGAAGGGAGTGTGTTTTCTCTGCTAAAAACTAGAAGTGTCTGTGATAATTATAAACTTAAAATAACTGTGTGACAAACAGGATACTGGGCACTGTCTTGAGGAGAGGGAGGGAATTATCTTCCAGGTTACCTAATGAGGTACACACTCCTGTTATCTTCATTTCTTTCCAGACCGGGAAGGCAGGAAAGGGCTGAGGGGGAAATGGCGTGTGCCAGGACACCAGCAGCTGGTAGAGCGGGTGGGAATGCCTGGCCCCTGAACTTTCTCTCCTTGCTGATGCTGAATTTATAGCTCCACGTCTTAATCATGAGTCCACTCACACCATTACCCAACCCAGAAAAGGGAATGGAGGGAATAGCAGAGAATGGAGCTTTGTGTTAGAGCCAGCAGGGGCACACCGGTGAGGGCTGATGCAGGGCAGCAGAGGACAGGCAGCTGAACTCCCTGTCTGTCCCCAGGTACTGGAACTCCTTGAGCAACCTTGTGGCGTCCTTGCTGAACTCAGTGCGCTCCATTGCCTCCCTGCTGCTGCTCCTCTTCCTCTTCATCATCATCTTCTCCCTCCTGGGGATGCAGCTGTTTGGAGGGAAGTTCAACTTTGATGAGATGCAGACCCGTAGGAGCACGTTTGATAACTTCCCACAGTCACTCCTCACTGTGTTTCAGGTATGGACTCGATGCTGCCATGCTCACTGGGAGGGTAGTTCAGTAGTGAAGTGGCAGATGGGCAAGGAGAAGCCTTGGAAAGGTGGGTGGTGAAAGCAGTACCCATTCACTGGGCATAATGCCAGCCTGGATCATCCATGGAAGGTCTTTCTACTGCTTCTTATCTCTCAACCTTCCACGGAGCTGCATAGGTTGGTAGACCAATGATGCAGCAATCTAATTGATCAGTTTAAAAGTGTTTGTGTGGCCTTGGCACCCATTAGCCAAAACAAACAAACAAAACCTGTCTGAGCACACAATACGGAAAGAAAAGTAGACTGATCTTGTTGGGAAGTAGAGGACCTGTCTTTACTTTCCAGCATCCTTGCCGCTGGAAGAATTACAGATGGTCCAGAGTTGTGCTTTCATGTATGCTTAGGTATATGACAGCCTGAATAACATATATTTGAGTTTCAAAATAGGCTTATTTATAGATAAAGAGGAACAATCTGTGTATATTTTATATTGCTAAAATCATAATGATGGTACCAAATTATTATGTTTAATAGATGTGATATAGCCAGTCACTGTCCTCATGATCACATTTGCCAAGGGAACTAGTGGCGGCCATCTCTTATACTATATGTTAAGAGCAACATAATGTGCTGATCACAGAGCTTTTTTATATGCTAGGGACCATGCACTTTGTCTGTGTATAGGGGTTAACTTACCCAGGCCTGTAATCCCCAAGAATAATTGGGAGCCAGAGCAAGGAAGGAAAGTTGAAATGAGATTTGGGACGTTTCTATTAACAGAGTGGGACAGGGCAGGGCAGGTAGGGCAGGGCAGGGGAGTTTGGGGGTTTGCTGTTGGTCTAACGCTGTGTCCCTTATTGGTGGGAATGTGTCATTCAGATCCTGACCGGGGAGGACTGGAATTCGGTGATGTATGATGGGATCATGGCTTATGGCGGCCCCTCTTTTCCAGGGATGTTAGTCTGTATTTACTTCATCATCCTCTTCATCTGTGGAAATTGTATCCTTTGATGCTGATGCTGCCCCAACCCTGCTATCCCTCTCGGCCTTTTGCACAGTACCATGTGTGTGCTCCAAGGCCCTGGCTGGGCTCTGTGTTGTGGCTGCCCATCCATAGGCTATCTGGGCAAGACCACTCTTGTAAAGAAATGTGTCCTGGCCTAGAACCACTTCATGCGTGGTACCAGTCTGGGTGCATGCTGCAGCTGGGACTCAGGAGACAGTGCACCCCACACTCCTGAACTCACTTACACTTTAAGGTGCCCTCTCTAGGAGGTGTGGTCTGGTCACAGACTAGGTGGATGAGGCCCCCAAGCAATGTGGCCTGTGCAGCCAAGCTCACACAGACGAGGATGCAATATGCCCGGAGAAGTGTGTCCTGGCCACTCTGAAGCCAGTGTACCTACTTAAATCTCCACCCTGTGTGTTGATTAGTTTCCTCCTTTTGAAGCTGTTCTTGGGGCTAAAGTCACAGGCAGAACTGAACAAATTACAAGTCCTTCCTGATAGCCAGTCAGAGACAGGGACAGGACCCCAGGGCCTCAAGCCTTAGGCTTTTCTTCTCTCACACTGGTTGAGCCTGTGAGAATGGAATCTAGAGCTGGGTGATAAGATAGAAATACCTCTAGCCCAAAACTTGAGTAAAATCCTTGGCTTGAGTAGTTCAGAAATCAAGAACACTGTGCTGCTTGCAGACAAAGCTGGCATTCCATCAGCTGAATGGCCTCTGGCACATCAACAGCCTTCTTCATCAGTGTATCTACAGGCTGAGAATCCCTGATCAGTAACCTAGTATCTGGAACCTTTCCAGTCCCTACAGGTTGCATTAGGTAGAAAACCACATGAGCATCTCATATACAAAATTATTAAAGGTTTGTATAAAGTTGATGTCAAAGTATGTGTAAGAGATATATATGTAAAATAAATGTCTTTGGGGCCCTATCCCCAAGATAAATTCCCTCATGTGTATTTCAAAATTTGAAAAATAAATTGAAATGCAGATCTTGCTGCAAGTGGTCTGATAAGAGCTTCCGAGCTTGCAGTGAAATAGCAGGGATTACTGCTTGAAGGGTCTCCGTGAACTGGCTGGAAAGATGCACACAACGGCACAATGCTCCCCTCTTTGTGGGGTGTTAGCACTGTGTGGGAAGTGGTGTGAATATAAGGTGCCCCGGACAGGGCATTGGGTTTAACAAACTTAAGACCCTTCCAACTATACTTTCTTGGTTCTCTGGTTCTCTGGTCCATAGTGTTTCTGTTGGTGGAAAAGCTGGGCTTGGCAGGGTGAGGGACACAGACAGATGACTGCTTTAGTAAGAATTCTCAAGTCTATCCAGCTCTAGTCAAACCCACTAAGAGTGTTTACATATACAGACCAACAGGGGTTCCAAGCCACCTCTTCAGTTCCCTGTTATGTGAATGGGTCTTAAGAGCAATCTGCTAGAGATGGTGCTGACTATCAAAGCCAGACATTTCAGTGGTAAAATGAACAATGAAACCTAGCAACTGAAGAGCAAGGCAGGGCCTGCTGCTTCAGACCTGCCCTGCTCATATCTGCAAAGCCCATCTGATCTCAACCACTTAGAAAGCTCCAAACACTAAGCAGACTGATGGGGAAAAAAGGAGAAGGTACATGACTGTCTCCACCCCCCCCCCAGTGTGGGCTTCTCCTGGAGAACTCTTACTTCTGCATGCTTCATATCTCCCTGCCCCCTGTGGCTGTCATGTTTCCGAAAACCAAGGGTCGTTTTCTTTAAGAATGGACACAAACAGATATCCTACTGAATGTGTTCTTGGCCATTGCGGTGGACAACCTGGCTGATGCTGAGAGCCTCACCTCTGCCCAAAAGGAAGAAGAAGAAGAGAAGGAGAGAAAGAAGCTGGCCAGGTAACCCTCTAAGCTTAGAATGTCATCCCCACTGGTGGGAGAAAGGGCTGGTGCTCATCCAGTGATCATCTTGGTTGAAATGGACTGGAGTGAAGCTTCTGTAATAATGTGGCTTCCCCCCGAAGCTCCTAATCATTGCTATATAGTCTCTGCAAAGGTGTTGCATTTCCCCCACCAGTCCAGAAAGTGAGAAGCCATCCCTTGGGAAAAGGAGCCATGGAAACACAAGGAGGAGATGGGGAAAGCTGCTTTCAGAAGAAAACACAACTCAGCTCAGAAAATTATGTTTTCTCACTATTTTTGTGCCATTGGGATGTTAGGAAGAGAACATAAGGTTCTACATTCCATCCCATAATTATCTAGTTAGGACTGTCATATGTCATGCCTCTACTGGACACCATGCAGGGATCCTCTAGTAATTCTAAGTGAGACCCAGAATCCTCTGATTTAAAAGGGGGAGCCACTAAGGATCTGGAAGAGGTCAAATGTGTACCAGACAGAACCAGAGATGCCCTAGCCCTGTGGTGCTCACAATGGAGCTGCAAGTGTGATGCTCCCTACTGCAAAGACAATGTACATAGACCCAGAACTGATCTTGATGACCCCCAGAAGACCACAAAGCTGTTCCTGTCTACACTGTCCACTATCATTCCAGTAAACATCCATTTCTGGGTTTTTTTCCTGCTGACCGGCCAGGACTGCCAGCCCAGAAAAGAAACAGGAGGTGATGGAGAAACCAGCAGTGGAGGAGACCAAAGAGGAAAAAATTGAGCTGAAGTCCATCACTGCAGATGGAGAGTCCCCACCCACTACCAAGGTGAGGGGCTTCTTTAGGAGCTCAGGGACTGCCACTAAGTGTGCGTGCGTGTGTGCATGTGTGTTGAGGGGTAGGGGCTCTTCCTGTTCTTTACCTAAAGGAAAGAGAAAGAAGGGAAGGGTGAGGGGAGAAGAGAGTGACAGATGGAACTCAGAGGGAAGAAAAGACACACTGGTGGACCTCGGTCTTTCTGATGTTTCCAGGGGAGCTGAAAGCCACAGGGACAAGGATGCATTTTTTAAAGCTCAGAACCTGACTATGGTATAATTCCAAGGCTCCTCTCCGCCCCCAAACTCCAGCACTCATCTAACTGAATTCTTCTTCCTTCCCTTGGCTGCCTAGATTAACATGGATGACCTCCAGCCTAGTGAAAATGAAGATAAGAGTCCCCACTCCAACCCCGACACCGCAGGTACCATTGCACTACCTGACCCTGAGACTGAAAGACTGTGGGTAGACTCAGCTGTGTGGGAGTGGCCCAGCACTGAGGACCATGGGACTAGTTTCCACTATGAGCACCTTCACCACTAAGCATCTTATGTCTGGATTTAAGTGTTTCCAGTTGTCATCTGGGAGAGATGCTCTTCCTGGCATCCTCATAATAAGATTGAGATAATAGCATAGTTGAGGAAGACTTTGAATTATTATTACTTTTTTAAATTACTGTTTTATTGTTTAAGGGGGGACAACATATGCAGGATACAAGTTAAATATTTTCTAATAGTAGTAAATTTCACAAAGAAATTTATCCTAAAATAATTCTTCCATATACATATCCTTTTATCATCTATTAAAGACTAATGCAAATTTTCATACTAATTAGACAGATAGGCTTGTCTTTATATAAAGAAACAAATCTTGGCTGGATATTTGATGTTGTAGGACACAGAACATCTTAACATGTTAGATATTTGATCAATATTTTTATTTTATAATTGTCAGTGCTAAGGATACTATCTCACATAAACTATTGAATAATAGACCTATGGTTAGGGCCAGAAATTGTTAGAAATGCCATCCTAATTCCAAGCCAACATTCATTTAATGATTTTTCTTAATGACAGTCAGCAGTTCAAATAGCATTTTTTAATATTTATAATTTGATTCTTATATTAGAGGAATGATAGTAAAATGTTGCCTGCTTCCCACAATTAAACCATTATGTGTCTACAATAGCAGAAGATTCTGTATGTGCTTTCTGATATGCAATAGTTTTAAACCTGAATTGCGATGTCTGGGCCTGTGTCTGCTGGCATAGCATGGAGAGGTAGCACGCACAGTGGAAGTTCCTGCTGGTTGTTCAGAACCTAGGCTGCACTAACGCTGCATGAAACATGAGCAGGTGCTGGTGGAAGCACCGTTGATTCATCTCACCTATGCTTTTGAATTAAATTTGGTGGTTGCGCACTCATAAACCTTTCACTATGGGCAAAGTTTTTATATCCTCCATATTTGGTTACAAGACCCCTTATGTGTTCCCATGTCGCTGTTGTGTTTAAGGTTTCATTACAGCACGTGTGTTGCTGTCACTGTCAACTTACATATTTTATTAGTATAGCATATGTTGCTGCGTTATGCTCACCTAATAATAGTCAATCCAAAATCCATCTTGTCATTACTCAGGAGGCATTGCTCACTATGAGGACAGCTGCCATCACAGATGTCCCATTTGTGGCTCCATGAAATGATTCAGGTCTATCGTTGCAAAGGGAACTCTTGTGACAAGTTTCTGTGCGTCTGTCTGATGCATGACTTGACAGTCTCCTTTCAGAGGATTTTAAGGTCAGAGGCCCTGGGTGCCTCTCTGCAATATACACCCCAGCTTCTGGAAGCCCAATCACAGCATGAGCTTTAGGTTTGCTTCCTTAAGCTGCTAGTTTGTCACAAACTCTAAGCTTGAAGCCAACACACAGCAAATGACTGGATTGCAGTGACCTTTCTTCTCTGACCAGGTTAGACAACATTGGGATGGTAACCAGGGAGGTGGCAGGAAGCCATGTTTTTAAGCAAAGCTATATGTCTCCATGTTGCTTTCTCTCCACCGGTTCTCTACTGGGTCCACAAAGGCGCTATAGGCCTCCTCCCTGGAAGCAGCTCACTTTCTCTCCACCCTCACTCCATTCTCCCTAAAAGGGAAGTAGGGTGTAGTGTCTGTGGCTCACACAAAGAAGAGCAGAGTGTGTCCAGGTTTTGATGTCTCAAAACCCTCAGGGTTTATGGGGAAGTCTTCACAGAATATTAAAGACTTGCTAGGAGCAATGACTCAATACAGTAGAAAGATTTTGTCTATGTCCCCAATAAATAAGTTCTATTTTAAAATGATGTTTTTGAGATAATTGGGAGAAAATTGAATATGGACTAGGGACCAAATTATTTTAAGTAGATTTTTGTTAATCATGTTAGTATAATAATGTGGTAATTCTGTTTCTAAAATGCTACAGTGTTTATATCTAGAGTCTGGAGTGTTTAGAAGCTGCTGTAAAAACATTTCAACAATCTCCTAATGTGAGAGTAGAAAAGATAAGTAAAACTACATCTGCAAATGTCAGTAGATGTCGAAAGCAGATACAGAAAGCCACTCTACAAGTTTCTCTACTCCTGTGTATGTTTGTAAACATTTAAGTAAAATTACAGTAAAAAAGAACACACCACTCTGGGCCCCAAGAAGAGCCATCCCAAGCTAGTGTGTCCTGCAGGGGGCAGCCCCACGTACACTGTGGCCTGCAGGGGGCAGCCCCACGTACACTGTGGCCTGTAGGGGGCAGCCCCATGTACACTGTGGCCTGCAGGGGGCAGCCCCACGTACACTGTGGCCTGTAGGGGGCAGCCCCACGTACACTGTGGACTGCATCTGCGTCCTTTCACATACATACTCAGCTGAGCCAAGCTTGAACACCCCACCAGACCTCCTATGTCTGTGGCAATGATCTTGAGATGTATTGTTCTAAGTATAATATAGAGTGTTGGCTTTTTGTAGACACTTGCCTTCATTTTTCTTGGTCCTTTCACCCCCTTAATTCTTATGTTGGTCAGCTTCCTGTCAGTGATGAAGTACCAGAAATAGTGACTCTGTAAGGATGAAGGACTCTGACTCACTCAGTTTCAGAGGTCAAAGTCTAGGTCATTTGACAAAGTCACATGGGCCTTTGGCAAGGCTCCATAGGTCAGGGGTGGGTGTGTGGAGTTCTGTTTCTTAAGAAAGTATGGAAGTTTAATCATCATCGAAAATAAGGACTCCTGGGCTGGGGGTGTAGATCAGCTGGTAGAGTGCTTGTCTATAAGCCCTGGTTTCTATCCACAGACAACACGGGCACCACATAAAACAAATGTGGTAACACGCACACACATGTAACTTGGGAGATATAACAGAGTGGTAGATGGGGAAGTCACTCCTTGAAGCCCAGGTACTCAGGACACTGGGGGAAGGCTACTCTCCACAGCATATGTTTTCTGGGAATCAGATGGGAAAATACAGGTGGGGTTTTATTTGTTTGTTTGTTTGGTTAGTTGGTTGATTGGTTTTGGGGTTTTTGTTTGTTTGTTTAATTGGTTAGAGTTTTGGTGAGTTTTTTGTTTGCTTGTTTGTTTTCTGCTTTTGTTTGGAGACAGTATTTAACTGAATTATTCTGGCTTACCTGAAACAGAGTATAAACCAGACTGGCCTCAAACAGAGATCTACCTGCCTCTGCCTCCTGAGTGCTGGGATGTGTTTGGTTTTTGGCTTTGGTTTTAGTTTTAAGTATAATTTGTTAATTTTAAAGGAATATTCTTATTAAATTTATTCCTTGATAGTTTCATAGATATATAATGCATTCTGGTTACTCTCACTTCCCTACCCTCTCCTACCCCTGTGGGTCTCCTCCCTCTTTCCCCTATGCGTCCCTTTCTCATATGCATGTCCTCTGTACTGACATTCTTGTCAGCTCTGCAGAGAAGGCAATGAAGGGAAGCACAAAGAGAGAGGGCATTAGCCTAGACCAAAGCACACAGTATTACAGCTTCCTGGGACCTAAGAAATAACCACCCACCGCATGCCTTAAAATAAAAGTTGACGCTATCACACTTTTACATATGTCCGACATCAAAGTGTTAGCAGAACCATTCTCCTTCTGCAAGGAAGAGTCCTTGCTTGCCTAATTCCTTTTGGTAGCCAGAAATACTCAACTTGTAGACCTACCATGCTAATCTCTAGCTCTATCTTCATTCATATGGCCTTCTAACCCAAGTGTGCCTTTAGACCTTGTATGAGCAACAATCATTACATGTATGTGCCAACATGGTCCATCATAACTAATTACATCTGCAAAGACCCTGTTTCTAAGGCCATACTATAAAATTCTGGGTGAGCATGATATGTGATCAACTCACTGAAGTTACTAGGCAGAAAATGATTGGATTTGAGTAGATAGTTTGTTAGGAACTCAGAGCAGGCAAGGATGAGACTGAGAGAGATGTTTAACACTAATTCATATGCTCTGCATCTGTCCTCTGGGTAGAGGTGGTAGTGTGAGAGCTGCCACTCCCACAGCTTCAGCTCCATGCCAGACAGTGTTCTGAAATGTCTGTGCTCTCACTAATGTGCCATCGTAGGAGCTGAGCATGGGGAGACTAAGTGTAAAAGCCATATTCAGAAAGCACCAGAGGCGTGATTTAGATGAAGACATTTTCTGGACCATTTCTGGGTATGACAGCCATTGCAAACTACCTTTCCCAGGCTATGCATTTCTAAGAATATTTGACCAGAAGCATAACTAGTGCCTTCCCCCATTGATGCCATGAGACAAGCTAAGTAGGAGCTATTTGACTTTAATTTCCCTAAGCTCTGGCCATTGGCCAGAAGAGCAAAGAAACCCTCCACTTGATGTCATTGACCAACATCAGGATCAAAGGCCTCTAGTCATTGCTTGAGCTCTACTATCCCTGTCTCATTTTCTGGGAAATCATAGGAAAATACAAGGGTTTTGAAGTTAATTTGTTCAGTTTTTAAAAATGAATTTTAATTAAATTAGTTCTTTGACAATTTTATATATTTACAACATGTAGTACATTCTCGTTACTCTTATGGCCACCCCCTACATCTCCCATCTCCCTTCCACCCCAGTCATACACACCCCCTTCCCAACATTCGTGTCTTTTTGTATGGTTCTGTGACTCACTGAGGCTAATCAGAACTGTCTGCATGGCTGTGGTATTGGAACTGTCCATTGCAGCCTGGTAGGCTCTTCCATGGGTATTTAGCTGATGACAATGACTGCCCCTCCCAGAATCCAATGAAGTCAGTAGTTCAGCATGGAGAGGTAGGGCCCCATGAACCTCTTCTTCCCACCCATGATTGACTACTGACTTGTGCAGGCCCAGCAGAGGCCACCTCAGCTGCTGTGGGATCATGCCTGCAATGGCCGTCATACCCAGAAGACAGCATTCTGCAGCCCTTATTGCTACCTTCGGGCTCACGTGGTCCTTTCATCCCATCTTTTGTCATGTGCCCTGAGTCTTAGGTATAAGTGTCCTCTTTAGGACTGAGCATACAACTGTCACTTATTCTTGGCACCGACAGCAACCATGAGTCTCTGTGTTTCCTACCATCCATTGTGACCAGAAGATTCTCCAATTACAGCTGAAAGTAGCATTTGTCTGTGGCCATAAAGATAAATATTCAGACAGCAATTTGTGGCCATGTCAATTCAGATACAAAGCAATAGTAAGTCTCTTCATTTGATCAAGGGGAGTTTCAAGAACAGACTTGACCAGAAGGGGTTGCACAAGTCAGCTTTGCCATCCCCTTTTCTCACCAGCAGCTAAGATGAATGGGTGACACCTGGCAGTACCCCAGCCTGGTCTCTAGCAAGTACCTTTCAACCAGAGTAACCAATCGTCTCTTTTTCTCAGTATTACTGGGTTTTCCAGCATAAGGGATTTTCAGTTTTAAAACTGGAGCAGTTTGAACAAACATATTGTTCATCCTATTTACAGCCCCTAATATTATATACTCCTAGCAAAGCCTCTGACTGTCCCATGGGCGGAGCAGAACATTGCCTAGATTAACATTCCACAGCTCAGAGGCACTGGTGATGTCTTGGTCCTGTAGTAGGATGTGTCTGGGAGGGAGGCACAGAGGTGAGAATGAGTGGTGGAGTTGAGAATGGGGCTTTTGCTGTTTCTTACAGGGGAAGAGGACGAGGAGGAGCCTGAGATGCCTGTGGGGCCACGCCCTAGGCCCCTGTCTGAGCTACACCTTAAGGAAAAGGCAGTGCCCATGCCAGAAGCCAGTGCGTTTTTCATCTTCAGCCCTAACAACAGGTGTGTAAGAATAGGGAGGAAAGAAAACTGCTTCCTCCTGGAACCAAACCTAGCACATGATTGTATCCAACCTACAGGAGAAGCCTGGGTGTTCCAGGCTCCCTGCAACGTCTGTGGAGACACGAAATTAGGAGAGCCCTGGAGTGTTGATAAGTTTGTCTGCAGTTACTTCCCTCCCCAGGATTCTCATGTGGGAAGCATTCCTAGTCGACCAGTGGTTACCTCTGCTACTTCACTAAGTCCCTTTACCTTAAGACACAGAGGTGCAGCAGTACTGAAATTGTCCTGCCTGTGTATTAGGACCAAGGGGACAGGCTCCTGAGGTATATATTACAAGGACCGAGGAAACAGACTTCTGAGGTATACTACAAGGACTAAAGGGACAGACTCCTGAGGTATATTAGAAGGACGAGGGAAGGACTTCTAAGGTATATTATTACAAGGACTGAATGGGGACAGACTCCTGAGGTATATTATTACAAGGACCGAGGGGACTGGCTCCTGAGGTATATTACAAGGCCCCAGGGGACAGGCTCCTGAGGTATATAATTAGAAGGACTGAGAAGACGGGCTCCTGAGGAATATTTAAAGGACCCAGAGGACGGGCTCCTGAGGCTCAGGCCATGCCTCACCATTCCTGTCATCTCTTTCCCTCCTTGCCACACAGGTTCCGCCTCCAGTGCCACCGCATCGTCAACGACACCATCTTCACCAACCTGATCCTCTTCTTCATCCTGCTCAGCAGCATCTCTCTGGCTGCTGAGGACCCGGTCCAGCACACCTCCTTCAGGAACCATGTATGCACTCCATGTTGTTTCCGCACCCTGTCCTTCTGAGAATGGGGCAGGCCCACAGCTTCTGCTGCTGACGTCACGCTCAGTTAGGAGGCCTGTTCTGGACCTCATAATCTGTACCCAGTGAAGAGTCCTCTAAGAGATTAGGACTTTGATAGAAAACCCAGACTGGGAGTTTTCACTGAGCAAGTGAGCATGTACTCAGATGCATCTGGCTAGTTGATAATGGACAGTGGTCAGGCATCCTGTTGTCTGTGGATGTTTCCCAGGAAGCTCAAGTTGCCTGTAAGTCGGCAACATGGCCACTGGTTTCATGCCCTGCTCCCATTCCCTCTGACTAAGAAGGGACATTGGCAATTGGGTGCCAATGGTAAGGCTGACCTTGTAAGGAAAAAAAAAACTGATAATCTTCAAGAGTTAATCTGTTTGGATCTACCCAAGGCTCTAGTGATCAACATTAAATACTAAAATAAGTATTGCTATATTCAAAACCCCAAAGCTTTATTAAATCTCAGCCACACAGGCATGAAGAAAAGAGCCACTCTCCAAAGTCATGTCTATAAACAAAGTTCTCAGCTTGGGGTTCTGCCTGCTCCAAGCTGTTTGCTGAGGTCACCAGAAGTAGCCTCAGACCTGATCCATCTCCCAAGATGAAATCAAATATCAATGCTATGGCTTGTCCTCAGCCTGGGCTGACCTAGAGGACTTCCTTCACGGGGCCCAAGGCCATGACAGCAGAGCAAATGTCCTCCTCTGACACGGATGCCACACCCGTGTAAGATCGGAACATTTGAGTGGCCCTGCAAACACAAACCCATTCTGCTCTCTTGACCAACATCCCATGGTCTATTGTGGGTTTGTAAGTAAGTTGGATGGATGACAGAAGCATCCAGACGAATGCTTTTTAGACCTGGTTCCCATGGAGGCCTACCCTGGAGGCTTCCCCACCTGCCTGCAGATGCCATGCCGAGCCAGGGCCACCTGTGCTAGCCCTGAGTGGGAGCTGATGTTGGGAAGTCCTTCGTGCCTGTCTCCTGGCCTCTCTCCATGTGGAAAGGCTCTGGCGGCGTACGGGGTTGCACCTTGTTTTGAAGTGCTTTTCCTTTTCTGGTGAACATCCACTGACCTCTCCCCTTTCCTGCTTGTGTCCTGCCCCGCCCCCTCCCCATCCTATTTGTTTTTGTTTTGCAGATTCTGTTTTATTTTGACATTGTTTTCACTACCATTTTCACCATTGAAATTGCTCTGAAGGTAAAGCCCCATCTCCCTCTATCTTCCTTCCTCTCTCTGCCAGCCCCAGCTCTCTGCTGCTGTCTGTCTTGTTGCTAACACATGCTCCTGTTGGTGTTGGGTGCACTCTCAGAGCCACTAATCCAATTCTGCTTATTTTTCAGATCCTAGGCAATGCAGACTATGTCTTCACTAGTATCTTTACATTAGAAATTATCCTTAAGGTAATGCCCCCCGAGCCATGTGTCTCTGTCTCTCTGTGTCTCTGCTCTGTCTGGTGACTCTTCTGTTTCCTTCACTCTCTGACTCTTGTGTTCTCACTTCATGCTATCACTTCGCCCCAGCTCAGACGCCAGGAGAACCCTACCCTACCACACCTCTCCCTTCTGCTCACTCAGCAGCAGTTCTAGGCCTAGAAAAGTCACGCACTGGCTGTGTCACCATGGGCGCTGTCCCATCACTGGCTGAGCATGGTGGCTGTCAGCTGTGCTTAGTATACATGTTTGCATGTACCTTCTCCAATCAGTCTATGTCTGAGCCCTACTTGAAATTCTCTCTCCCTCCTGCATAGAGGAAATGCCACACAGGCTCTAGAAAAGCAAAACCTCTGGAGCATGAAGGAGTCACTTTGGCCCCTCTCTTTGGAGGCTTGTCATCAACACCTTCCTCAGTACCAAAGCTAACATAATAACTAAGCACAGGTTGGGCCTGTGTAATAGTCATGGTGGGTCTGAAGCATGATTGGGAGCCAGCATCACAAATGGATCGTATAGCAGACAACTGGAGGTTGTTTCTAACCCCTTGGTGACCTGCTGCTCTATGACAGAGGTCTTTTTACAGGTTGCATGTCTGAACCTGTAAATCAATGCATGGCCTTGGTGGTCTACCTGGGCTGTAGGACCTTGGGTATTATTGGCTTCTCTCTGAGCAAAGGGGAAATTTTAACCTTGAGCAGAACAGAAGAGTTACAGTCTCTGAGCACAGACCTCAGCTTAAGCATCTTCCTGGGACACTTGCCTGGGACGCTCTCTCCCAAAAAGCTCAGGCCTCTCTTCAGCCCATCCTTGGAGTAGATACAAGCTGCTGTCCACTCTCAGTGTGCACCAGTGCCAGCTACAGACCCTTCTTTTCCTGACAAAACCTCAGATCCTGCCCAGCCTTTTAGTGGGCTTGACATTTCTGGGTCATCCAGATGCGACTTGAGGTGGGCAGTCTCTGTGTGCCTCCCAGGATGTCCTTGTGCCTCGGAGGCTCAGTGTTACCAACCCTTAGCTTTCCTTGCTCACCAGCTGTGTGGCTCAGATTTTTCTTGCCTGCTCAGAGTAGACGGGGAATAGATTCCTGGAAATGGGTACCCACAGCCCATATTCAAATTCCTTCTAGAAAGGACTCCCTTTCCATGGTGAGCCGCTTTGCTGCTGTACCCTAGACTCAAGGTCGAATGCAGTCCTGGAAGATCTTTCCCAGGACAAGAAAAATCTCTGAGACCCAGTTCTCAGGACCCCGTGCCAAGCTTCAGTTGAGGATTTCAATGGTGCTTTCTCCTTAAGATTGCCATGCAAGCGGAAATGAAAGTCTCTGCAAGCATTGCCATGGCAAGCCCTTCCCCCACTTCTTCCTTTGGCTTCCAGTCTCTTCGCTCACTGTGTTTCTGAATACTCCTCCCTGCATTCCCAGTCCACTTACCACACTGCCCACACCTGGGTTTGTCTGCCCAGCTGGGAGATCCTGTATCATGCCAAGGCTCTGATTGTGATGGTGCCTAGAGCCTCATTTGCTCCAAGGGACTGTTGAAGGGTCTGGGGCCATTTGTCTTTAAAAGGACAGGGAAGGTAGGAGCATACTATTCAGTCCAAATAATGGAAAGGACTGTTCTGTAGAAGAAAGTGAACGTAGAATCAGAACCAGCCAAGGAAGTGACACAAGTGACGGGGTGGTTTGTCCCTAGAGGTAGACCTGGAGAAAAGTATTTGTCTGGGTTAGGTGGTAGGAGACAACTTCACCTTCAGCTCAAAAGAACTCAGAAGCTTCTATCTCATTCCATTCCTTTCTCAAGATACACATGCTTAGTCCCAGGCCTTTCCTGGGAAATGGCTTAAAGTTTTCAGGAAGCAGAGACCAGGTAGGTGACAATCAGTAGTGCAGGGTAGAAGGTCACTTGTACACAGGTATCTGAACCTAGCTTATTCTGGTGCCAAGAATGCACATAGACTTCCAATAAATGTTCTCTCTTCCACGTACCCACCTGACCTTTCTCACCCCACCCTTACTCTGAACTTGCCTGGGCACATGTCCATTGCTCCCACCCAACATTTTCATGCATTCTAAAGGGCTGCTCTACTTCTAGTGTCCCAGACAAAAGAAGCCCAAAGTCAAGAGACAGAAGTTGTGCTATGAGCCACGTTGTCCCCCTATCCAAAACTTTCTGATGAATATGAACCGTGGCAGACACTTAACTCTACTGTCTGAGGTCCAGTTCTTCACAGAGTCATCGGACAGTGAGCCCTTCAGATTGTAGACTTTGAAAGGGATCTGTCCATATTAGCCCATCACCTTTTATGTAATCTCCCCACTTCTAAAAACTGCTGCAGAGCACAGATTCCCCACTCCCCTGTGATCTCCTGCTGCAGGAGATGAATGGAAAGAATTAGGTCGCAAGAGCTATTTTTGCCAATTTCCCCATGTTGGCTTTTGTATTGGTCTTTGGGTGTACCACCCTGCACATGCTCTGATTCCAAAGAAAAAAACTGGGCTCCAGATGACCCAGGAAACTGCTCTCGGTCTCTCAGCCGTCAGTTCCAGATTTTTTCTTGGGCAGATGCTTCATGACACACAGCTTTGTATTGACTCCTCCTGAGTATCCGTGAGCCTTTACTGCAGGCAGCAAAGTGTGAGTATAGAGGGCACACTTTCCCACAAGCAATGCTATCACAGGAGGCAGTGTTAGTCAGAACCCAGAACAGCAATCATCACCTTACATGGTCTTGTTTGGAACATTTTCAGAGAGCGTTCCCTTTGATTTGCTGTCTGACCCGCACAAAAACACGAAATATCTATCACTCACACTTTATAGATATGGACACTACTTCCATTGTACAGAAAGAATATAGATCTCAAACCCAAGTTACAGTGAAAGAGAACACATATGTGGAGCTTGTCATGCAGAAACATGTCCTAAGTGCTTTATGTATAATTTCTCCACTGATTCTCACAACCCATGGACCAAGTGTTGCCATTGTCCTAATGTGAAGATCACAGAACAGTTCATTTTTCACATGAGACACATGAAATACAGCAGAGTTGGGCTTTGAATCCAGGTCATCTGGCTTCAGAGCCTGAATTTTATACCACTGTACCACTTTGCCCTTCTAAACATAGTTCCTACTTTTAAAAAGGCCCCAGATATAGGCTAGAAGGCAGATAGTAGCATCCAGCTTATGCATTTGATGGAGCTCCTAAGCACTACTAAGACCAACAGGTAGGGAGAAACTAACTACAGTTGTTAGTACAACAGAGATTTTCTACGGCATGGATTATTTTTTAATGGTGAAGCCAATTAAGTCCTGAACAAATCAGGATGGCCGGACACCTATCTGGGTGTGTCTCATTCTTCCATTGATGCCTAGTGTCTCAGCTGGCCCTGAGAGTGAGGTATGGAAAGGAAGTTAGGAGACGTGCACACAGTGGTAACATGACCTATGCAGAAGCAGCAAAGGGCCCTGCAGGGTGCAGCCATGTTGGCCTGGGGATGAAGGACAGTGGAATGTTAGAGAAGTGTTGTGGTGCCGATCTGAAAGGGCCTTGGGCTGAAAAACCGGACACTTGTAACTACTTCATGTCCGAAGCTGGGGAAGTTCTTTAGTGGTGGAATGAAGGGCAGAGGAGTTTCTTGGCACTGTGTCACCTTTGATTCTTCCTGCTGTCCCTGTGCAGTACTTGGGCTCTTCCCCAGGGATGCTGATGGCATAGACAGGAAGCCTGGAGTCTAAATGCTGCCTCTGAAGCCTGGGCAGGTCACTCACTCGCCTTCTCTCCCTCCCTGCAGATGACGGCTTACGGGGCTTTCCTGCACAAGGGCTCTTTCTGCAGAAGCTACTTCAATATCTTGGACCTGCTGGTGGTTAGCGTGTCCCTCATCTCCTTTGGCATCCAGTGAGTCTCTCAACCCAAGATGGGGACAGGCAGCTAGGAGTGGGTGTCAAAGAAGTCAGCCAAGCCCTGGGGAGCCTTCTGACTGGACTCACACAGCGTGACTATGATTGGAGTGGATGGGACCAAAAGTAGCACACAATGTTTGCCTTGATTCTTCCTCTTCCTCCTCCCCCTCCTCCTCCTCTTCCTCATCTTCCACCTCCCTTCTTCATGGTACTTGGGATTGAACACAGGGCCTAACTTGTAGACAAGTACTCTACCACTAAGCAACAGCCACCACTCTTTTTACTTTTTATTTGTTCCCCAGGCTTGCTCTAGCCCCCTGAGTAGTGAAGATTATAGGCCTACACCACCAAGTCCTACTTAATTTCATATATCTTTGTCTTCCATGGTCTGATACTTGGGGTATATTTATCCACAAGAATTTGTTTAAATGTCTAGACTTTTGTCATGGCAGGCTCAGGCCCCATGATAAGCAAACAGACATCTGCGGTACCTTTTTCTGCCTGAGTCTCTTTCTCTGTGCTTAAGGCCTGGGGCTGTCCTAGAGCTGCCCAAACCTACCATTGCTGTGACCTACGCTGACCCAGCTCACACTCTTTCCCTGATCCCCACTTCTATCCTCAATCAAAGTTCTGAGTGTGTGTGTGTGTGTGTGTGTGTGTATGCGTGCACATATACACACAGAGGGGAGTATTATGCACTTCTTCTACAGAAAAAGAAGGGGGAAGAGAGAGATTGGGAAGGAGGAGGGTGGGGAGCACTGATCCTTCTTAATCTTAGCTCCACAGACGAAGCCTTCTGGGTTAAGTTTTTAAAAAATGCCTTTTTCCTGGGTCCCACTCCTGAAGGTTCAGATACACGGGACCATGTATGAGTTATAAAACTCTGTAGCCTGGTTCCCTCTAAGGTCAAGTTTAAACCTTGCTCAGGATTGAAAGAAACTTGATTCTGAGTTTCTACCTATTTTAACAGCTGTGCTTATTAATCCTACACTTTGAATTTTAAAACATTTTCACATATCTGTCCTTCCATCACACACACACACACACACACACACACACACACACACCTATAAGGTAGGCAAGGAAACGCTACTGTAAAATTTGGTGTTCAGTACATTATGAAACTTAGCCAAGTTTATACCAGTGACCAAGACTTGTATCTCAGGCATCTTTTGGGTCTCCCTTCCCAAAGTTGGCTCATGGTTAGCCTCTATGGTGAATGGTGATCATGGAAGTGAGACCTTTTCTTTGGTCATCAAATATGTTACCTAAAATTTCTCTTTGAGAGCCTAGATATCTAGATTCCCACCTCAGCACTACTACAGTCACTGGTTCACTTTGAACCAACAATTCCTGTTGGTTGTTTTCATTTTTGTTTTGTTTTTTAATCTGTCCTTTAAATTCTTTCCATTGTGATGCAGTGCAAACTGCCTGCCTCCCAGAGATGCTATGGGAACAGTGACGGAGAGGAATGTCCTTCGTCTTTTGAAATAAAGATCTGTGAAGCAGAGAAATTGGATTTTTGTATTAGTTCCCTCTTGGCATGGGAAGAATAAAGTTAGCACTTGCTGACACATCAAACCCCTTCTTTTTGTTTCTCCTAAGTTTGAGTCCTCTTGTCACATGCTGAAGCATATGCCTTAATTAGACAGTGCCTCGGGTCAGAGGTCACTTCAGAGGCTGCTAAACCATTGAGTGTCATTAATGACAAATGGAAACCATCTAGCTATCTCGATGAAGGGCTTATGGGGGTACCTGTCACCACTCTCCACCAGGAAGTACCCATAGCCCAAGGCACCAAGATATGCTGGCATGACCTTGACATTCCATGTTTCTTGGGACATCGCTTTTTCTTTGAACATTTTTACTGGCACACCGTTACCTCATGGAAGTCTGAGCATGTCATGAACCATGGTGGAATTTGTATACTGTAGTGGGCAGTGACCCAGGCATTGTGTTTGGAAATGTTCCAGAATTTCTTCCCCATGCCTACCACCTCCAACCACAAGGCCTGAAGTTTCACCATACATTTGGTATGTAGTGTAGTGATGCGTTCAGCAGGCAAGAGAATAAAAACTGCCATTTGCTTGCTAGATTTGTAATATGTACTAAGTCCCTACTACCTAATGTCCACAAATTCTCCTTCAATCTCTGAAACAATCCTTGGAGCTAATAACTACCCCATTTTCCAGATGAAAAAACAAGGCACCAAAAATTAAGAAATGTGTTCAGAGAGATTCAACTGGCAGGTCACAGCAATGGGGACTAATGCAGATCTGGCTTGCTTTCACTGCCATTTTTTGACACTGTAGATACCGCTTAAGTCGCATATTATATTGCTAATGACTTGGGGTTTGTGCCCCAACCCTCCCTACACCAAGGCTGGAGATTGAAAGAAGGCCCCAAGCATGCCATGCAAGCCTTCACCCTGAGCTGTGTTCCCCACTGCTCTTTACTATCAGGAAGTCCCAGGTTCTTAGCAGTGAGTGATACAAGTTCTCAGTCCCCAAAACAGAGTCTACATCATCTACCTATCAGTCCATCCATCCATCATCCAAGACCTGTCAGTCAGAACAGCGTCTGCACATGCCATTCTCTGCTGCATTGGAACTGACCACCCGCACTGCTTCTCTCCCAGGTCCAGCGCAATCAATGTTGTGAAGATTTTACGGGTGCTGCGGGTCCTCAGGCCCCTGAGGGCCATCAACAGGGCCAAGGGGCTAAAGGTAAAGTAAGAGGGTCTGGGAGGGCAGCCATCAAAGCAGTAAGCATTAGCTATCCCTCTGGCAGGAGGAAGCTGGGATGACAGACAGGCTACAGGATGGGTAGATAAGTGTCAACCGTGGTAGAGTCTCTCGTAAGCAAAATGTTTCAAAGGGTCACCCTCCCCCACAGATTCCTCAGGTGATGTGTCAGTCTCTGTGTACCTGATTCTTGGCAAGGCAGACACTGAGGCTGGGGTCCTGATTTGCAACAAAATAGCATAGGCAAAGAAGTTTACTGACTTGGTACAGAGAGTGGCCAAGACCCTAGGAAGTTGGTGGCCCTCCCTTGTCAGGATCTAGCATTCATGTAGTATTGAATAGTTCTTCCTAGATGCTTCCTAGAAGGAATCTACAGGGCAGTTACAGAACTGGCTCCAGGAAGTGGCCTCCACAGCCACTGAAATTCCCTCATTTGTTCCTTACCTGGCTCAACTCACAAAGCACACACAGTACTCTTCCGCTTAGATAACATTCAGGTAGGTAGGACTAAGACAAGGGAGAAGCCGTTTTGAGTTAACTGTCATACCAATTGGTCTTCCAAACCCCTGTCAAGGCAACAAATAAACAAAACCACAGATTTTCCCTTAAAGAGAATGAAAATTTGTTTATTTTAGAGCCAACTATGAGTAATCATAACCCGCTGCTCCAAATACTGTGTTTTTGTTGTTGTTTAATTACTTATTCATTTATTATTCTGATTGGCTCACAGCATAACAGGTTTTCTCCTTATGGAATTTTCATACTTCACTCTAATTGGTTATCTCCCTGCTCCTCACTTCTCCCCATCACACCCTTCGTACCTCACATGTTCTACTATCCCCTTTCCTTGAAGCTCTTTTGTCCCATCTCATTGTCCCCTTTCTTATTTCCCGGAGATTACCCACATTTGCTTCCACCCAAATACACACACTTAACTAGAAGCCAGGGCCCGAATGAAAGAACTTGCAGTTATTGTCTTTCTGTGCCTGTTTTACCTTACATAATACAGTGTTCTCCAGTTCCATTCATTTTCTTACAAATTTCATTAACTTTTCTTTATGAAGAAAAAAATTCCAGTGTATATATATAACACATTTCATTATCCACTCATCTACAAAGACCAAAGACTGTGTTTTCATGTGGTACCAGTTGTTCTCTTTTGAAAATTACATTGCCTCTCCCCACCCACTACTCCCTACCAACATCTCTCATGTCCCTTCCAACTTCTTGTCTTCTTAAATAACAAATCAAGTCCAATTAGTGCTCCTCATGTGTGCATGTGGGGGAGGGGCATCTGCTAGGGCATTGGCAATCAACCAATAGCCACTCTCCACCCTTCAAAGAAAAATGACTCTCCATCCCATCCCTCAGCAATCACCAAGTGCCCTTAGCTCCTCAGCTAGGGTCATGTATTAGGAGCCCCTCCCCCTCCGTGCTGAAATTCTTAACTCTTTTGATAAAACTGGTGGAATTTCATAAGACTTCTTCATGTATCCTTAATTTTGGTTAACCCACACACTACCTCTTATTTTCCCAACCTCCTTGCTCCCATCCCCATGTAAACCTTTAGCTCTCAGGATCCATGGCCCCATTCTTTCACATGTGTGCTACTTTCCCATTTTATTAGAATGTATGCTTTGGTTTCAAGGTCATAGTTCCCATGTAGCTTCTTCATGCACACTTCATTTTGCTTAACCCTGTCTCCCAGGCCTTGTTTCTTCAGCCCTGTTGCTGCAATACCTGCTTAAACTCTTCTGTGCCCAGTATTTCCCTTCTCTACTTTAATTCTATAGGCTATCCCCTCTTTATAAGTGTATTCCCCATTCACTAGCCCGTTGCTAGTTCCCAGACTTCCATATGTACTCCAGGATAAATACACAAAACACAATATTTGAAGCTAACAACCAACATATGAGAGAAAACATACAATTTTTGTCTTTCTGAGTTGGTGTTACCTCATTTAATATATTGCTTTCCAGATCCATCTGTTTGTCTATGAACTTTATAATTTCTTTTTCTTTGCAGTATGTCTCTCTTTAACAAAGATGAATCTTACTTGGGTTTCCTTTGCTGTGATGAACACCATGACCAAAGGCAACCTGAGGAAGAAAGAGTTTATTTCAGCCTCCAGTTGTTGCCCATCATGAAGAGAAGTCAGAGCAGGAACTCAGGGCAGGAACTGAAGCAGAAACCATGGAGGAGTGCTGCCTACTGGCTTGCTCTCCGTGGTTTGCCCAAGCTGCTTTCTTATGCAGCTGAGATGCCTGTCATAGGTGGCACCACTCCCAGTGGGCTGGGCCATCCTACATCAGTCATTAATCAAGAAAATGTCCCATAGACTTGCATACAGAAATAAGATGGAAGCATTGTCTCAATTGAACTTCATCTTCCCAGATAACTCTAGCTTGTGTCAAGTTGACAAGTCCCTACCCCCAGGACACCTGGCCCCTTGCTATTTGAAACACAAGCATAATGCTATTAAACCATGAAGTTTCCTTTCTCGTTCATCTCCAAGATGTCGTGTTAATATTAATATCATACTGTAAAACTTAGTATAACTTTAGCTGTCCCATAATATTTAAAATCCAAAGTCTTTCTTAAAATCCTGTGTTTCTTTAAAAGTTCCATCTTTTAACTATGCACTCCCATAAAATTCAAACTAAGATAAATACTTTCATATTCCAAGAGGGAAGAACCTGGGCATAGCCACAATCAAATAAAAGCAAAACCAAAAGTAAGCAGTTTAAGAGTTCATTGTTTGAATGTGGGCCTCACTCATGATCTTCTGAGCTCCAGAGAGCCTAGACAGCTTCCCTTCTCCAGCTCTCCTCATAGGTTTAGACTGGTCCTCGGCAGTCACCCCATGGTATTGCTATTTCCAGTATTCTGGGGTTTCCACTGCAACTAAAGCTACACCTTCACCAATGGCTCCCCAGACCTATCTTCAGGAACTCCAGCCCTTCTACCCAGTGCCAAGCCTCTGCTACTTTCCATGACCCCTTTATGCCTTCAAAACCAGTACTACCTTCAGCTGCCAACCTGAGATGCAGCCTTGGCCCTCTCTGGACCATAGCTTCTAACTGCTGACCCTGAGAAAATACTCCCAGAAGATTCACCTCCATGATGCCAGTCTCTTCTTAATCATCCCAGTTTCTCAGCTCCAGATAACCAGCATCAATTGTCCCATCAAAACAAAGGTTTCACTTTAATGGTGCTGGTCTTTTGTTATTCACAGATGATTATTCCAGTTGACCAGAACCACAGATTCTTGATTCAAAGTGTCACTCAAACATCCATGATAGTCTTTGCTTCTCTTTGAAACATCATAAGCCAGGCCTTTCCATCATCTACTTCCTTTTCAGCATTGCTGCCACCCATGCTCCTATAACATCCCAGTAAAACTATAAGCACTAACTGGTTTTTCCAGTCCAAAGTTTCAAAGTCCTTCTACAATACTCACAAAAACAACATGGTCAGGTTGTCACAACAATAGCCCGTGAACCTGATAAAAAAAATTTTGTCCTACATAGATTTCTATTGCTGTGATAAACACTATGACTGTGTTAGCCAAGGTTCTCTAAAGGAACAGGAATGGTAGAATTATATACATGGAATTTACTAGAGTGGCTTAGGGGCTGCCGTCCAAGCAGTTCAACAATAGCTGTCTTACAATGTAAAGGCCAAGGATTCTGTAGTTGTTCAGTCCAGGAGACTAAATGTCTCAGCAGTCCCAGTCTCATGATGGAGTCCCAAGGAAGTTCTAGAGAGCTTCTGCTCTTCATTTTACATTGGAATCCCAAAGAAGTAGGTTCTGTCATGAGCCAAGGAATGCCTCAGCAACAGGATAGATGCACTTGCCAGTGAAAGAGAGTGCAAGCAGGCAAAGAGCAAAAACTTCCTTTCTTTGTCCTTTATATAGACTGCCACCAGAAGGTGTGGCCCAGATTTAGGGAGACCTTCCCACCTCAAGTGATCCAATGTAGCAAATCCTTCATAGGCATACTCAGGTTTACTTGGGTCCCAATTGATTCCAGATATAGTCAAGTTGACAACCAAGATTAACTGTCAAAATCTCTATAACCAATTTGGGTTTATTTCAACTTATATTTATGGTGCATTAATAAAGGGAAGTCAGGGCAGGAACCAGAAAGCAGGAACTGAAGCAGAGGCCATGGAGGAGTGCTGCTTACTGGCTTGCTCTCCATGACTTGCTCAGCCTGCTTTCTTATACAACTCAGGGCTGTCTGCAGGTATCACTGCCCCCAGTGGGCTGGGCCTTCCCACATTAATCATTAATCCCACATAAACAGTCTCAGTTGAGGGTTCCCTTTCCAGGTAAGTCTCGCTTGGGTCAAACTTGAAAGAAAAAAAAACAGTACAAAATAGTACATTGATTAACTTAATCTTAATGGGAACCCAATAATTATTTTATAAAGAGATAATAAAAGTTTCCAAGAAGGTAAGTGTATCTTAGATTTCAAAGAGCCAACAAGAATGCCATAGGCTAAAGAAGCAAAAGCTTTAGTTTTTAACAGCTTAAAAACTTACTTACCTACCAAGCTAGAAAACTGAAGATCACAGGCAGGGGGATGGAATTTTGTACAATAGATCAAACTTTTAAAATAGATTTCAATATTATCTACTAAAATAAGTTTTGTAATTATTACGTGATTTAACAGGCATGTCCCCCAGTAATTTTGCAAGTAATTCTTTTTAATAGAATTTCTCCTACTATGGAGGTAGTGACCATCCCACTAAATAAGGCTTTATCCCATTGCTAAACACACAGTCCTAGTATTTTAACATTGGTATGAAATATAATTACTAAGTTTTAATCACTAAGTTTAAAGTTTACTTTGTAAAATGATAAAATAGAATAGCTTTGTTCTCTGGGCCTTTTCTTTAATTCTACTCAGCCATCAATTTTATCTCAGGGTATTGAATTTTGACCTTAAGAATTTTTAATAACCTTTCATTATGGCCTATTTAGTCATACCAGTGTCATCTCTTTTTTTAAGTTTTAAGCTTTACCACTTTTTTTGAAAATATTTTAATAATATTTTTATTAAATCTTTGAGAATCTTATGCAATATATTTTGATCCTAGTCATCCTTACTCCCCTTATTTCTCCTAGATCCACCCCAAACTCCCTGCCCAACCAACTCCATGTCCTCTTTTTGAACCCATTGAGTCTAATTTGTGCTGCCCAAATATTATTGGGTGTGAGGCCTTCCCCTGGATCATGGTTGATTTAGAGGAATCATACCCTTAAAGAAAATGGACTCTCCTTTGGCAATCAGCTACCAATTGCCAATAGTTCCTCAGCTAGAGGTAGGAGCTTGTGCCATGCTCTTTTCTCCATGCTGGAGTTTCTCTGGCTTGAACTTTTGCAGGTCTTGGGCATGTTGTCACAACTGCTGTAAGTTATTGTGTGCAACTGTCCTGTTGTGTCCATAAAACAGTTTCATTGCAGTCTTCCACTACCTCTCACTCTTGAATTTTTCTGCCCCTCTTCTAGGTTCATTCCTGAGCTTTGGAAAGTATGTGTTATGGGAACAGGAGTAATTAAATGGTGTAGGGGCATTTGTAGAGCTGAGGGGGGATTATGGGGAAGGGAGAATTAACACTAAAGGACTTTTGAAAAAGTCACGTGGAAGCTCATTGCTGTAGAAGATTCTTAAATACATAATATACATGTGCGGGAACAGTTTAAATGGAGTTTCCCTATAACAGGGGCAAGAACAATGCTCCTACTAGACACCGCAAGACAGCAAATAAAGAATCTAGTATCATGAATAGGTTACTTCTTTTGGACTTGTTGGCCAGTGGGGTCCCATAAACCCCCAAACAGTATAAGCTATTGCCATTATTCTTAGTTACCCTCCAGAACCCGATGGTCAGACCCTGCTATTGAAGGTACCACATACTTGAGTCATAGGACATGGAGAAATCAAACTGACCTGGAAGCTTTGTCCCTACTGGCTAGCTTTCATGGTTCTGGAAAGTTCCATACATGCTACCAAAGGAGAGAAGACATCACTGATCTTTCCAAGAGGTGACCCCTATGAGATAAAATAACTACTGTCTTGTCAGGATTAGCTCACTGGTGCAAATAATGATATAAATGTCACTGGAATCAGCCAGCCAAAAACAAAACAATCCTTCACCTTTGTCCTCTACAGAGACAGGAACACTGCTAGTCTCTTCATGTCAGTGTGTGTAATCTAACATCCCCTGATTATTAGGTAAATCCCTTTGGCAAACAACAACAGATCCCAAACTTTCGCCAACCCATGGCTAAGAATGCTATCAGGTGACATTAAAGGCCTATGACAGAGATTTTCCCACTTTGCTATAACCCACCTACTTGGTGTTTCTGCCAATGTACTTGAATATGCCTCAATTCATATAAAATTTAAAGGAAAACACAGGAAGTTGAAACATAACATGTGAACAGTTCTGGAAATATTTTCCTCAACAAACTTAAATTATTTGTTAAAGATTTAAGCCCTCTTATAATAAGCATTTAGAATTTGTTGTCTGTCTAAAAACCATTGGCTTGTCATTTAGGTCTGCATGGCAACTGGAAGGCAGCATCACAGAGAGGCATTGTGTCTCCATCCTTTTTCTCACTTTTACTTTTGGAACATTTGTTTACCTTTATAGTAAAGTTTTAATCATTTAACAAGTATTTTATTTAAAGCATTTTCTCCTTTTTTGTATTTTCTCCTTCTTTAAACCAGAAGGCACAGTAAGTTATTGCTCTAAATTTACTGCAAAAGAAAAAATATATTTGTGTTGTAATGGAACATATTAGGATCATCTGTAAATCTTAAGATGCCATTGTCTACCTTTAAGTAGGTTAATCAGTTTTTTAAATGACAGTTTTGTTTTGCTTTACTTTGGTCTTCATAGTTTTAGTGTTGTCTCATACCTGGGCTTGGCTGGATAAGGGCCTTGAAATATTTTTTCAAGTGTCAGCAGCAGTTAAAAATAATTTTTAACTATTTACATTTATATACATATATATGACTTAAAACTAAGCATATACCAAGAATAGCACTTTCTAACTTCTTGAGAGCTATATAAATGAAGTAGCCACAGATTTTGTTGTTGTTTCATTTTCTTGAGACACAAAGTGACATATAAAGGCAATTGCACGAAAATAATTACCATAAACAAATACAACACAGTCAGGTGTGCTTTTTAGTAGAAACCAGATAAGAAATTTATATCTCAAAGATATAGAACTTCACTTAAATATTGAGAAGGGCCCAGTGATGGTAAAAGACAGTAAGGTCTGTATTACTTAGGTAAATGTGATAAGCCAGTTCGTGCTCATAGGAGATGTTCAGATGAAAGGGGATAATGTTGTTTATTGAATTTTTCTATATGAAGTTCCCAAGCAATATGTAAGAGGATTCATCTGGGCAGTGAGTCTGAGCATTGAGAAAGAATTCTGCTTCAGATCAGGGGGAAAGGAAGATGGATGGGAGAATGAAAGTTCACAGGAGGAAACCAGAGCAGGAGGTGAGGCTGCAGGCATGACCAGTGGTTGCAAGTATAGAGAAGCCATAATGTGCCATTAAGTGGACAGAAATTTTGATCCTAGAGTGGATGTAACGGTCCCAGGAGTGGTCAGAAAATCAGGATTTACCAGCTATTAGGAGGAGGAAAATTCTTCATCCTGGGGAAACTTTAAAGTCTGTCATCCTGTACGTCTCTCAGATCAGGCCAGGAAGGAAAACCACAGGCACAAATACCAACATTTTAGCCACATGTTCCGTGTCCTTGTACTATGAAGAAGAGTAGACAAGACAAAGGGGAGTATTTAAGGGGATCAGTTGAGCATTTCCCATGGTAACACCTATGTTGCCTTAGCTTCTTTTCCTATTACTGTGATAAAATAAGTCCTCTGGCTAAAGTAGATCAAGGGATAAATGACTTACCTCAGTTTACAGTTCAAGGGTACAGTATTGAACTGTGAACAGGTTCTCTACTGACAGCAAGAGCTTGAAGCTGCTGGTCACATGACATTAGAAATCAGAGTGAAGAATGCTTGTGCTCAGCTAGCTTTCCCCTTTCTATGCAAGCCCGGGGAATGTTGCTGCCCAAATTTTAGGGTAGGGTGTCCCACCTCAATTAACCTAATCAGCATAACCTCTCACAGGCATGACCAGAAGCTAAATAATCCCTCATAAGTGTGCCCGGAAGATGTCTCCTAGGTGATTCCAGATCCTGTGAAGTGATAATTAACATTAACCATCACATAAAGGAAAGAGAAAAATGGTTGTGAGGAATGAAAGGGGCAGGATAAGGCACATGAAGGGGACACTTTCCCCAATACCACAAGGAGTAAACCCTGGCTGGTAAAAGGAGAGGTATCCCTACTCCATCAGAGTCTTTCCTGAAGAGACTCTCAGAGCTGTCTCTGGCAAGCTGAAGAAATGAGTAGACCTTGTACTAGGGCACACCAGTGAGAGATGAAATGGAGCTTCCCATTTGAAGCAGTGAAGCCTTTTCTCTCCCACCAACAGAGACAGAGTCTTCTCCTAATAGTCCCCTTTTTAACTTACAGCATTTCTGAAGGATGACCAGCAGCAGCTGGGAGGTCAGTTGAGGTCTGGTAGCATTCAAAGTATAGAGAAAGAGCAGTGGGGCGGATAAGAAAAGGGGAGTCCCAGGAGATTCCTAGAAGGAAGAAGCAGCTCCTCACCCGTATAGGCTATAGTAGACTGTCCTTTTCCTTACTGCCTTAGTGATCCACTGAAGAATAGCATTGGTTAGGATCCGTCAGCTGCAAATGTGAAATAAGGCCTTCCACAAGGAGCCAAAAGGCCTGACGCTGGCCATCCAGTGTCACCCACCCAGGAGGCCTTTGGATATCACTGAAGATTAGGCCCAGCCAGAGATCTTCAGTTGTCCATGGAATCAGTTAATTACTATAGACTCCAGAGTGAAAAGGGAACCAGGAAAGCAAAAAGGGGTCTCCTGTGTAGGCCACTGCAGTGTTAGGTGGAAATCACAGCCGAGATCACAGTGCCAAGATTTCCACCAAGACAGAATAAGCAAAGAATTGTATTCATTCTCTGTAGACAGAGAAAGGCCAAAACACTAACGAAGGTGTTGGCCCCCCTGGTCCAGGACTAGGATTTGTGTAGGTAGTTAGTAACTGGTTCCTAAAAGGCATCTGCAGGATCTCTGTGAGTTCGATGCTGGGCTGGACCAACAGCCTCCAAAACAATACAGAGAAACCCTGTCTCATAAAAACAAAAAACAAACAAACAAAAAAGGCATCTGCAGGGCAGTTTTAGGGCTAGCTCTAAGGAGTAGTCTTCAGGGCAATCGAATTGATTCAAAGGTGGGGTTAAGGCAAGGGAGAAGCCATTTTTTGAGGTAGCATTGCTTGGTCTTTCCACCACTCAGACAGGAGTTTGAAAGGGCTTGTATCTCTGTCATCACAGAGTCCAAGGAGCCCTTTGTATTCTGAGTTCCAGCAACACGACTCTGTAAAGTCAGCTGGCCGCTGGGAGCCTGCACAGGATCTGGCCGCCCTGCTTGTGTGCAGGGATCCAGGGACCGGCTCAAGGCTGCTTAGACTGAAACTCTATCCCCTTCCCATGCCTTCTTCCCATTGCAGCACGTGGTTCAGTGTGTGTTTGTGGCCATCCGGACCATAGGGAACATTGTAATTGTCACCACCCTGCTGCAGTTCATGTTCGCCTGCATTGGGGTCCAGCTCTTCAAGGTAAAGTCCTGCCTCCTTCCCCTCTTATCAGCATTCCCAGGGAAGGAAGCCAACCGATCCAAGGGGGGACAGCAGTCTAGGTCAGGTGTACAGAACAGTGTGACCTCTGACCACAGCCTATCAGACCTGAGGCAGTATGACCTCAGACCACAGCCTATCAGACCTGAGGCAGTGTGACCTCAGACCATAGCCTATCAGACCTGAGGCAGTGTGACCTCAGATCACAGCCTATCAGACCTGAGGCAGTGTGACCTCTGACCACAGCCTATCAGACCTGAGGCAGTGTGACCTCAGACCACAGCCTATCAGACCTGAGGCAGTGTGACCTCTGACCACAGCCTATCAGACCTGAGGCAGTGTGACCTCAGACCACAGCCTATCAGACCTGAGGCAGTGTGACATCTGACCACAGCCTATCAGACCTGAGGCAGTGTGACCTCAGACCACAACTGACTTGAGCTTTCCTGAGCTAAAGAGTAGAGGAAAGCTGACTCTGCCTCTCCCAGCTAAAGGCCTCTGTGTCACCTTTCAATTAGTTGCCCTTCTTCCCAGACGACTCTTACCCTCTGGTACCTATCTGTAAGTCCTTGGCTTAAGGCTCACAGCAGTTACTTACTAGTAACAGCACCATGCCCACGCTACACCACCCAGCCTGAGGCCAGAAGCCTAGCTGGTTTCTTCTTTTCTGTTTCCATCTCTTTAGTTCTGTTCATCTCTCACAGGAAGCACTCTTTCTCTGTCCCTCACCCTCCCACCCCCTGCTGTATAAACTTCCACTGGCTTCTGCCCATAAACTCCCGCCATGCCCAGATGCCCTTCTTTCTAGAGAGCAGAGCCTTCAAAGACTGACACTAGCTGCTTTTATTTTTTTATGATTTTTTTATTCTTTTTTTAAAATTTAGATAAGAAACAAGGTTGCTTCACAAGTCAGTTCCAGGTCCCTCTCCTTTTCCCTCCCCTCCTCCCGTGCCCTCCTCCCATCCCCCCCCCATTATCCCCTCATTCCCCCAGGGAGGGTGAGGCCCTCCATGGGGGTGTCCATAGTCTGTCATTTCATATAGGGCAGGGCCTAGACCCTTCCCCAAGAGTTCAGGGTGAGTTCGAGGCCAGCCTGGTCTACAAGAGCTAGTTCTAGGACAGCCTCCAAAACAATACAGAGAAACCCTGTCTCGAAAAACCAAAAAAAAAAAAAAAAAAAAAAAAAAGAATTGCAAACTATAAGAAGTCAAAAATAAACATTGTCATCTGCAACTGGTATGCACTAGCTGCTTTTAAACGTGAGTGCACTCTCAGCTCGGAATGTGAGTCATGCCCTCTGCGTCTGGACTCTGTTCATCTTTCACCTGTTATATCCAGGCTCAAACTCAGGACTATGCTCCAGACATAATCATTAATCCTCTTCCGACAGATCCATCCCTTGAGGGACATCTCTAATCACTTCCTTCTTCTCTTCTAGGGAAAGCTATACACCTGCTCGGATAGTTCCAAACAGACGGAGGCAGAATGCAAGTGAGTTTAAGCTCGCAGGCTCCCAGGGCCAGGGCTGGTTAACTCAGGGGAGGTTGGTGGCTTGGTTAGAAAGAAGTGAAGTGTGTCCTCTCACCCATCTCTGTACCTGGCCTCATTTTTGTAACATGGGTTTTATCCCTCAGAGTTCAAACCACTGATTCCTCTGATGGCTGGGATACTGTGGTTGTATCCTACCCAGCATGCCAGGAGTCATTGATGGTAGAGATAAGGGACATCCTGTGATTACCTTTCTCTTCCTTTCTCAGGGGTAACTATATCACATACAAAGATGGAGAGGTTGACCACCCCATAATCCAACCTCGAAGCTGGGAGAACAGCAAGTTTGACTTTGATAATGTTCTGGCAGCCATGATGGCCCTCTTCACCGTCTCCACCTTTGAGGGGTGGCCAGAGTGAGTATGAATATCAAGGCTCACAACCCTGACAAACAGAGTTGAGATACTGGCTGTCCAATTATTATCTAAGGTCTTATACATTCTCTGAATTCTCCCCAGAAGTCAGACTTGTGTTGTCCCCGAGCAGTGCAATTGTTTCTAGAACTTCTGTAGAACTTGATCACTACAGGAACACAGACTTTTAGCTGGACACCTTCAATCCCAGAAATGGGGAGCCAGAGAAGGGCATATCTTGTGAGTTTGAGGCTAGCCTAAGTCTATGTAGTGAGTTCTAGACCAGCCAAAACTACATAGCGAGACCCTGTTTCAAAAACAAAAACAAACTCTTATAAGAGTTATTATTGGGGATGGAAGATGCTGAGGATTTCACTGAGGGCCTTGTGCATGCCATATAAGTACTGTTCCACTCAGTACACCTGCAGCATTTTAGAAACCCCAACCAAAAACAGATACTTTTTAACCCCTTTTCCCAAGCTCAGTGTGAGTCACAAAATTGGAAATCCCTGGATTTTTCTTTATGGCATTTCAGAGTCAAATACAGAGAAAATTTCTTCAATGTAAACCTTTGATCACCATGGAGTTCCAGTGTACCATCCCCACATGCAGCTGCCATGGGTGAAGGTAGCCAAGAGGTCTGTCTGGTTAGACCCTGTGCCAGTCTCCTTGGAGAAAGCCTTGTCTAAATTGGCACTGTCGAGTAATAGAGACAAAAGCCAGAGGCCCAGTCCCTCTGCTGATGTGATATTTTCCCTGCTAGACCAGCACATTGGCCTTTACACAGTGTTGCTGGTAGCAGGCTGGTCCATCTAGTGTTCTTTGTGTCTTGGTTTAAACATCTATTTCTGCATCCAATGGTGCATAGATAGGATTTGCCATTATTATATGGCAATCTATAAGTGATATAAAGAAGAGAATATATATAAGAGAATAGCCATATGCTGGGGAAATTATAAGAGAAGAGGAAAAAATCATCCTGGTCCATGAAGAACAAACTCAGTTGGTACCATAGTCCAGACTGGAATGAATGGCACACTTATGTATATGCATGAGTGTAATATAAACCACTGTAGGTGATGTGAATAATCTAGAATCTAGAATTACTTTATCTAAATGAATGTTTTTTCTCTCAGATTTACTTTTTGTTTGGCCTCACCTCCTTTGGTCCATGCCAGTTCACAAAGCTGTTTCAATATTTACCAATATTTCTGTGTTTGAAATTGATGTCAGTGGTGAATGTTGCAGATCAACGGCTCTTGACAGTTTCAAAACACTGTGTGTATATTATATCAGCTGCTGTGTAAGATAGGAGAGTAGGGAATTACCATTTCCACTTGACAGTTGTGGACTCAGTGCCAAAGAGATTCATTGGTGTTTGCCTGGATGGGACTTGAGCCCAGTCCCTCTGGCCCCAGCCTGGAGCTGTTTCCTTTGATTGCAGGGATCCCTGGGAGCAGTGGTGCCATCATCTCATGGAGGTGACACTGCTTCTCCAGTTCACTCTGTGAGCCTATCTCCTCCTGTAGGCTGCTGTACCGCTCCATCGACTCCCACACAGAAGACAAGGGCCCCATCTACAACTACCGTGTGGAGATCTCCATCTTCTTCATCATCTACATCATCATCATTGCCTTCTTCATGATGAACATCTTCGTGGGTTTCGTCATTGTCACCTTCCAGGAGCAGGGGGAGCAAGAGTACAAGAATTGTGAGCTGGACAAGAACCAGGTAGCTTTCGGGAGGGAGAGGAGGGAAAGGGCCCACATAACAAAGGGCAAAAGTGGCTGTCCAAGACCCACTCAGAAGAAAGCTAGGATATTTGGAGAGATACATGTGGATACCAAGGTCCTCTGTCCTGTCATCCAACAGAACAGGGTTTTTGTTACAGATTTCTGGGGCAGAAATGTAGAACCAACATTCCTCAGACATGACAGATATTAAATCCTCATGAATCCCAGATATGGAAAATGTTCTTAATCAGCATTGTTAAGCTTCTGCTTAACCGTACTTTGTGTCAGGCAACGTGGAAAAAAGAAATTTATGTCATATCCAAAAATCGGGAAGTTATTCTATGTCCAGGTGTGTTGGGACCATTGACAAAGGAGAGAGAAACTAGAACAATGTAGAAAAGAGAGAGCTTGGGATGGCCAAGAGAACAGGAAAACTCGTAGATGAAACAGAGGTCTGAGTAGGTATTGAGAGAAGAGAGTCTTAATGGGGAGTGACATGGTGACACCAAGGTCTACAGTATGTTCTGGTAGCCACTCCCGTGGTGAGTAATGCACTGTTAGTGATGGACATAGGTGTAGAAACTCAGCTCCCTTTGCACTCCCGGTGGAAACATGCTCTAAATGAAGCCACCTCACAAGGACACAGCCCAGTATGCCCAGCTATATGTATGGCAGGAAAGCTGGACCCTGGGCAAACATCAGCATTTACATTCAACATTCGGGCTACTGTGTAGACTTCGTGTTGAAAGAAAGACAAGGAGGGAAGCCAACTGGGAGATGCAGATGAGGCATGTGGAGAACCTGACCTAACAGCAGTAATTGTAGTAATGATGTAAAAGCAGGAGGTCAGGTCGGCAAGGCTTGGGGACTAAGCCAAGGGTCAAGCAGGCTGGACTGGCTTTCTGCTTCCTGATTTAGAGATTTGGGTGCTGTGCGTAGAGACTGTCTGACATTTCTGTATTCCCAAGACTCTAGTTAGAACAAGAGTTCCTTTCTTGATAGTTCTTTGTCATCTGATCTTGTAGATACTCGACAATAAGGAAGAAGGATTTAGGATAGAAAAAAACAAATTAGGCAAGAGATGTCTCATAAAGAATCTGGTGTAGGGTATAACTAATGAGAGCTATGAGCCAATCAGTATTTATCAGGTGCCAAGCACTTGCTGAGCAATGCACCACTCATTACCAGTTGGAGAAAAGGAGCTGAGCTCATTGCTTGCAATCTGAATGAGATTTGATGGAAGGGGCCTCTGTCCTTGAGCCTCTGTCCTTGATAGGGATGCCAGAAAAATCAAAAGCATGCAACATTAAATGCACATCTGTGAGTAGAGCCAGAGAACACAGCTTGTCGTTTCACATGCATCCTACCTTTTATTGTCTCATGCACATTTCGTCATCCCCACTCTTCCTCCATGAGCCTTCACTGCTCCTTCTTTCCTTCCAGAGACAATGTGTGGAATATGCCCTCAAGGCCCGACCCTTACGAAGGTACATCCCCAAGAACCAGCACCAGTATAAAGTGTGGTACGTGGTCAACTCTACCTACTTCGAGTATCTGATGTTCGTCCTTATCCTGCTCAACACCATCTGCCTGGCCATGCAGGTCAGTCTATGGCTGGGTGCTACTCTAGGGGAAATGCTGGGGAAGGATGTAGTAGAAGGAGCCGCAAGGCCAGGTCAAGTGGTCACCTGCCTGCAGCTTGGAAAGTCAGAGAGACAGAGAGTGAGAGAAAGACAAGTATCCCTTCTCAGGAATGGGGTTCCTCTGAAACCTTATGGAAGAATCCCTGGGGCCCTGGATTTATAACAGAATAGAGGATGTAGAGAATGGATAGAATAAGCCTGAAGTCATCACTATAAGGCATGGGGTGTGGAGGTGGATTCAACACCCTTACCTACAAGGCAGTCAGTTTGTGCCAGGGCTCTCAAGTACCAGAAACATCCAGAATTTATCACGCCCAATCATCCCAAACTCAGATCTCTGCCACCCCAGTTATCAGAGATGGTAAGAAAGTTAAGAGCTTGCAGGATCTCCAGAGTCCACCTGCCTGCCCAAGGCATAGTGGGCAGCCTTCTGAGGATGGCTCAAGGGAGAGCTCTCTAGACATGGGGGCATCTGAGAGAGTTGGACAGAGGTGACAGAGAGCCAGGACTTCAGTCTCATGTTCGTGGTCTTCTCCTTCCTCCACTTAGCATTATGGCCAGAGCTGCCTCTTCAAAATTGCCATGAATATACTTAACATGCTTTTCACTGGCCTCTTCACGGTGGAGATGATCCTGAAACTCATTGCCTTCAAACCCAAGGTAGGTCTCTGAGAACAAGCTGTCCGATGGGATGGGAGTGGGTGTGTCTGTGGGACGAGGGACGTGAAGGGAGAACTTACCAGTCACGGGTCATCCCTTCTCTGAAGAGTTCTCTAAAAGCTACACTGGCCAATATGTGAACCAGGCCAACTCCTTGAAACATAACCTTACCTTGTAGTCTTGTCCATGACTGGGATGAACAGAAAGTAGATTTCTCCATGAGCTGAGCTGTGGTCTTTCCATGAGCTAAGCCACAACCCTTCCCCTCCCATTCCTTAAACCTGGCAAGCCAAACTTCTCCTGGCCCAGCCCCCCAGATCTAGGAAGGTCCCTGATAATGCCCCTCTCCCATTTCAAGTGATTGTGAGAAGTTCAGGCTGGGCTACGTTCGCTCAGGGCCCAGCAGTCCATGCCATGGACGCATGCTCAGAGACATTGCCATTGCTCCCTTTGTCTTCCAGCACAGGAAGATCAGCTGCCTGTGGATTTTCTTGTCACTTCTTGCAAACAGCACCTCATCACAAAATAGAAGTGGCTAGCACTGTCTGAATGAGGTGGGGCTGGAAAAGCTGACTGCTTGTCATTCTTCCTACCAGCCCTGCCCATTGTCCCCGGTGACACCAGAGCAGGCTAGTAGAAGTAGTGCCTGTAGTCCTTGACCTTCACCGAAAGCCAGAATATCTGATATTCACTGGCCCATGACTGGCAGCTACTTTAGAGGGCAGCTGTAACAACAGCTCAGTAACTACTGTGTCTGCCCTAACATGCCTTGGATAGAGGGAAAAAGGACATATCTGGAGAATCACGTCTAGAGATTTGAAACATTAACCAATTTTCCAAGCTCCCTACCCCACCAGTTTTAACAGGTATAACACAGAACAGCAGGAGTCAAGAAAAAAATCAGGACAGAAAGACAAGTCTCCAACTATATCATGTTTAAATTTTGACAACATACCCAGAACCAACTACACAATTATTAAGAGAAGGAGCTGGTGTGTTCTGTCACATGGAGCTGTTCACAAGGGTGGGTCTTTGACAAGAGCTCTGCTGGATACTTTTCAGAAAGAGCAGAGACAACCTTTGAGTCACTTAAAGAAAATACATATGGTATTCACAAATACTGCTTCTTCTTTTCAACCACAGGACACCTAGGGATCTTGACTACTAAGACTCCTAATGAGCCTCATTTGATGCAACCATAATATTGGTGTTTCCCTACCTCCAAGAAGGAAGTATGTACTTTGTCATATTTCTTTCCAAGTTCAGACCCATTAAGGGATAATTGGTGTCTTGGCCTAAAAAAGACTACCAAGTTATTGTGGCCACCTTCTCTGGGGCCCACAAACATTGCCACCCACATGTTGCCCTATTCCCGGTGCCTTAGAATACAAAAGCATCACTCACAGCATCCTGAGCCCAGCCAGGAGAGCAGGATTGCTGGGCTTCACCCTCAGTTTTCAACTTCTCATGAAGCTGTCATCACTTTCACCTCAGCTCTTGAAACATATGGCTTAAATGTTTAGTCTTCAATCACCCTACAGTGGACTTAGCCAGGTTCCTGGTGTCTGAGGCCATCCAAGAGCCTGCCATGAACTTTCTGACCCCTGTATCTTTAGCATTAAGCCATGTGCCCTATGAAGCCCAAGGTCTTCTGGAACCTTTAACTGAAACACCTTTTTGGTATATCCTACAGATGAAAAACAAACTTATTCATAAGTCATAACCAACTGGGATGACCTAAACCATAAAGGGTTTCCTATTTTCTTCAATGCCTGGTTTTCTGTAATGAGAAGACAGGGTAAAATATGAGAAAGTTTTCCTAGGTATAGAAGAGGATCATCTCACATAGTAAGAGTCAGTCTTTGGCTTCAGAGGATGGCAAGGGGATCTCTTCTATTAATTTCTCAAAAGGGACACCTGACAATAGAAGAATGAAGACTATTAATGTGGGTGGCCAAAGGCAGTTGACTAGTTAAATTGAGAAGAAGACGAAGGGGAGACTGGCCCTTCTACATCCTCATTAACTGTATTCTTCACTGATAAACAGACTAGAAAATGTGCCCTTGAATTTTTCAGGCAGAATAACAGGAAAAAACCCTCATAATTCTGGTAGAAATATCTACCTAGCATTTGCTCAAGAACAGTGGAGTAGCTTCTAACAGTCCTACAATACCAATAACTCTGGACTTTCATTTTCACCAGTTCCTCATGTGTGGTCTGAGTTCCCTGTGAAAGAACAGTTAGCAAGAATGTAAAGGGTGGATGTGTTAGCCATTCTGGCATTATAATTATAAAATGCCTGCAGCAACTAACGTAGTTTTGAAGATTTGAGTGCAAGATGCTTCCATCAACACATTCCAGAGAGGATAGTAGGTAGTGGCACATCGCAACAGGGTTGTGTATGGGAGCAGTTCAGTCACATTGTAATCAGGAATCAGAGCAAATGTGCAAGCTAGAATCCTACAATCCTCAAAAAGCAGACACTCATTGACTTCCCTTCCCTTCCTTTCCCTTCCCCTCCCTTCCTTTTCTCCTTCCTTCCTTCCACTAGACTCCATTTTCTGAAAGTTCCTCCTTCCCCCAATAGCACCACTCTGAGGACCAAGCTTTTAACATATGGTCCTTTGGATACTTAACATCCAAACCACAGCATTGGCATAACCATAGTCAGGGCTACATCATCTGGAGGTATCCCTGATTTAGTTTTCCTTGCCATATCTGATTGATTGATGGGCTGATCTATCAGTTTGGCACTGTTTCTTTCCTCCATTGTCTCTACAGTGATTGATGCTTGTGAGCTTTTCATTCATGCCTGTTTTCTTCACTACTCAATGTAGAATAAGTTTACTCAAGAAAATCTCTGCCTGAATCCAACTGCTCAACTCCCTAAATCCGTACTTTGTTCATACAAAAATTCATAGAAATATGATATATTAATATAAAAATGTTTAAAGACCTTCTGTTTCTTAAGCAACCTGGAGAAAGCAGAGGTGATCTACAGAAAAGGATAGGTGAATGCCAAAGGAATTCTGTCCTTAGATATAGGGAAAACAGGCTAAAGAAACTTGGATGACCCTTAGTTCTGCATGAATATGCAGATGCAAGTTGGGGGAAAGGTTTGGTTGGAATGTTCAAAGGGTAACTAAATAGCTGTTTAATTATATGATAGATTGTGTTTCTATCATGACCTGAAATATGTCAATAGTTAAAGAAAAATTAAGAAAACTTTTATAATAGGTGCTGAAAAATGTCCAGTATCTAAAAATACATATACCAAAAAGAAAACTAAGATTTTATAGCAAGGATTAAAGAGAAGCTGATAACTGAAGAGATAAACTCTCAGACTGGAAAAGACTCACTGCTAAAACATTATTTCTTCTCAACTTGATCCATAGACTAAGCACAAGCCCAATTAAAATTCCTACTGAGCCCTACACCAGCAAGAGAGGCAGAAGTGAGGGACCTGCACAGCAGACTCCAGGGAGTTGTTGGGATGAGCCTCGGAGCTCATGTTGACAGCTCTGATCTGGCAGTGGAGGGCAGCACAGGGCCTGCTGAAGGGCGGTGTAGCCACAGACATCCCACTCCTAGCAAGGGGACTGAGAACCCACTTAAATGCCTGGGCTTTGCTCTTGACAAAGGTTTGGCAAGAACAACAAAATGGAGAGTTGATGAGTCTGGGGCTGCACACTCCTCCCAGAACAATAGGTTTAGAGCATCAGGGGTAAAGTGTGTCCCTAACGGGAGTATTTAACCTCTCTGCTTCATAGAGTTCCCAGTAAGACTGAAACTCGTTTTACTCTCCATGACTTAGGCATCCCTGTAGGGGCTGTTTTCTTCTGGGAAGCCCCAAGGCACTGAGTAGGGGGCTCTGGGACTGGTGTGTTGGTTGCTTAGTGAGGAATAGCCTGGTGAGAGCTTGGAGCATGAGTTGTCTGCCAGAGCCCGCTGGAAGCTCAGCAGTACAGAGTGGTGTCAACACTGTGCTGATGTCATCTGATGGTGAATCATCTGTGAGAATGAAGTCAAAGAATGAAAGATGGCTCAGAGTGCCCTAGCCTGTCCCTCAGGGAATGGACTGGTGATACAGTTCACTGAAATTTAGGAGAGTAGAGAGAAGCCAGCCTGAAGGGGATCTGGAGATGTATTGGGTTTCAAAAGCTGTTAAAATCTGGAACAGGCAGTCTGGGCAAGAGATCTATTTTAGGAGTCAGTACTACATATGGCCTGCCTAAGTAGAAGTTCCAAGAGAGCTGTCCTGAGGCCTCCTCATCCCAGAATGGGGATGCTGAGCTCACAAACAGGTGAGGCACTGGGGAGAAGGAAGGGGTCTAGAGGCTAAGAGCTGGGATGGCCAAAACAAGGGATCAGGATGAACCACTGTCTCTCAGGCTAACAGGCTGTGTAAGTGAAGCCAGCTGCAGAGAAGACAGGGAGGATGAATGGAGAGCCTGCGGCTGCCCTGCTTATCCAGGGGAGCAGGGTGGGACCCTAGATGTACTAGTCCCCCTCTGTGAGTGGTGCAGAGGGCTGTATTCCTTCAAAGTCACATTGATCTAGAAAATACAATTTAAATAACTTCAGGAGTAAGTAAAAATATTTCCCCTTAAAACTTGTATGGAAGCTTGGCAATGGTGGCTCACGCCTTTGATCCCAGCACTTGGGAGGCAGAGGCGGATCTCTGTGAGTTCGTGGCCAGCCTGGTCTACAAAGCTACACGGAGAAACCCTGTCTTGAAACATCAAAAAGAAAGAAAGAAAGAAAGAAAGAAAGAAAGAAAGAAAGAAAGAAAGAAAGAAAGAAGGAAGGAAGGAAGGAAGGAAGGAAGGAAGGAAGGAAGGAAGGAAGGAAGGAAGGAAAGAAAGAAGGAAACTTGTATGGAAAGTTAGGTCTTGGAACCTTTCTAGACCTACAAGCCCCATTTCATGATAAATATTCTGTAATGTCTTTTTAATTGACAAACATTCACACCTATACATAAAAATGTCGAAAAGGCGCAA